ACTTATGGGCAGAAGATGACTGCACCCAATCCCTGGATGAAGCACAAGAGGGAAGCGGGTCCATGGGGATATCAAACTGGCATGAGACGAGGAGGTGATCCGATGCACCCAGAGCACAGGCTGTGTCTATGGACGACACTAGTTGGCTACGATTGCTGAAGATGAGGTCCAAGTATGCCTGGCTGCCTGAAGGTGCGGTGTGCGTGTTTGTGGCGACCAGTTGTTGAAGACCAAAGCAGCCAAACTCTCGTTGTATTGCAGCACCAGCAGGGCATGTCTGGTCAGTTGAGCACCAGAGGCTGTTTTTTCCATTCAAATATCCAGCGATGATGACGTGAGAGGATGATACAGGAATCATCCTGAGAGAATCACCAATCATGTCGCCGTAGCGAGTTATGTCCAAGCCCCTGGTTGAAGGCGGTCGATACGTACAGCAAACGACAATTGGTTCAGTACGGCTTGACCTGGGCGTGAGCTGGACCCATACAGCCTCACACATAGGACGGAGTAGATCCGGGCGATATCGTATGGACCTAAAACGGTGTTCTAGAACAAGGATTGCAACACCACCGTATGCCCGGGAGGTGGTGCCAGATATGTTCTCACAAGGCGGTCTGTCTCGCCGATAGGTTAGGTATCCCGGAATACAGAAAGGTATAGTAGGCTCTAGCCAAGTTTCAGTTAAGCAAATCACATCAGGGTGGTGTTGTTCCACGATTACGGACAATTCAGCATATTTATTGACACTTGAACGGCAGTTTGTTGTATACAATAGGAGCTTCTCGAAGCTAGTCTCCTTCACTTGTTCGGCTGGATGACACAGAGGAGCATATGGCCTGGCATTGGGGTTTAGGTTAGAACAGACACGGGATTCGGGGAAGAAGAAGAATGGAGCTGCATGCGGGTTCAGCGAAGCCACGGAAAAAAGAGCAGTCACTGATCAGCGATGTCTGCAGACACCTCCACCCCGTCATTGAACCTCCATGGCCGAACAGCATGCTGAATGAATAGTCTCCGGCCAGAAACAGTCACCCATCACCCGATTGGTGGTCTCCTCAGGTACGGTTAGTCTTGTGTAGGAGGTGCCAAAGTATCGCGATGTGGCTACGGAGCATGCAAGCACCTCCACATCTCGCTCTTTACACCAGTTGACAATAGATGTCGCCTCACAGCCAGGAGTGATATTGCCGATGAAGAAAACCTTCCTCCGGGTTCACACAGCTCCGGTTAGCACGTTCGGAGAGGTATTAACGGGTGTGGGCTTTTGATAAGCAGAAGTGACAGTCCTGGTCAGGGCCTCTTGACTGGAGTCACGACTTGAATTGTATTTGCTGGGCGAGCCCTCGTTCGCGCAGTTGTCCTTATCGTTATAGTAGTAGGAAGCAACGAGCTGGTTCTACCACAGGGGCACCCTGCCCCAAAAAAGGGGGTATTATTGAAAATATGTATTGTGTCATGTGGGTTCGAATCTCACTTTATATTTTATATTTTTAGGGGTGGGGTGTTATGCCCTGCCCTAAACAATAAGGTATTGTGGTGTCATGGTTTGGAATTGTATCATTTTCTTCTTTTTTTGGGTTGGGATGTTATACCCTGCCCTGGATCATGTTGCATTATGATGTCTAAAATATCACCATTTCTAATGTCAAATTTATCTCACTTTTTTCAATTTTATATAATCAGAACTCATAGTTTTGCAGTATTTTGGCTTGTAATTTAAATTTTTCGGATCATTTTCCGTGAAAAGTTAGCTAAACGATTGTCGTCGGTGACGTTGAGGATTACGGAACTACAAGAAGAGACAATAACGGCGTGCTCCTCCGTTGCTGGGATGATGGCAGTAGGACATGCTACAACGTCATGAAGACGGATGCCGAATTCAGCCTGAAGGGGGTTGAGGACACGTTCGTCAACGGTCGTCAAATTGAGTCACCCGAGCTGCTTGACATTATCAGGGAATTGAATAAACGTCAAGTCTTCCGCACGGACCGCACAATGATGAAATTCCGACGCAATGCGGTGCAGCTGAGAAGCGCATGCACCGTGTTCACCGTGTTCTCCAAGATCGTCATCTCCCCGTGGCGTGACCTTTGATCTTACCCTATAAAACCTGATGTAATTTTATTATGCATCACAATTGCTATCTGAAGAAGTCAATGTAAGATATGGCATGGTCAACCTCTCACCCCTATGTCGAGAAATTCTATTTATTTTCAATTGACGAAGATGAGCTTATGGTACGGCTTCTGGATGATGCCCATACAGCCTATGAGTTGCGGCCGCTACTTCTTCACCCTAACTGTGTAGATCATACACCAATTGCTTACCGATATGCTCAGTCCTCTTAATGCCAGCCGTGCTACACGTAGTCAGGGAAATCGAGCACTTAAATTTCCAGTCACTAAGACATCCGCTGGCACACATTCTGCCTCATTCCAATGTGTATCACTGTGGAACAGGCTCCAGCCCGACATCAGGAAAATCCCACAGTACCACCGATTCATGCGATCCCTCCCAGCACATGCTGCTTTTCAGTAATGCCACTGCCCGCTGTATTATTATTTCCTTTACTGGCCTAACTGGCTTTTACAATGTAATACTTTACTACCCACTCTACTCAGTATCATTACCCACTCTACTCAGTATCATTACCTTCATTACCCACTCTACTCAGTATCATTACCCACTCTACTCAGTATCATTACCCACTCTACTCAGTATCATTACCCACTCTACTCAGTATCATTACCTTCATTGGCCTTTTATACTTTATTCTCCTTTTTAGTCGATATCATGTAATTAGGCAAATTTGCCTGTTTGTTCTTCGACTCTAAATAAACAAACAACAACAACAACAACAACCAATGGCGATAGCTGAATACATCTGCCGGGTTTCGGCTCTCGTTTTGCGGGCAAATGCGAAAAGACAACGTCTGCCCAAGATTGTTGTCGGTGATGTTCAGGATTACGGGACAGCAAGACGGGAAGATAACGACGTGCTCCTCTGTTCGTGGGATGATGGAAGTACGACATGCTACAACGTCATGAAGACGGATGATACCGAATTCAGCCTGAAGGGGGTTGAGGAGACGTTCCTCAACGGTCGCCAAATCGAGTCACCCGAGCTGCTTGACCTAATCAGGGAACTGAACAAACGTAAAGTCTTCCGCACGGACCGCACGATGATGAAATTCCGAAGCAATGAGGTGCAGCTGAGAATTGTCCCTACACGCGTCACAAGGATATTAGTGCGCGTCGGCACCGTCGACCTTGACGAGAATGGTCTGACCACGAAGTTACCAGAAGTTGTTTGTGATGCAATGGAGAGTCGCAAACGAAAAGCGACAGATGATAACGACGACTCCATAGACTCGCTCGTCAGCATTCAGGCCTCGGAATCCTCTGATGTATATGAAGGGTCAAGGAAGCGATCGTGGAACATCTGCTTGCTGGGCGGACTAGCGGCTAGAATAGGGATCACCGAATGGTCCAAGTGTGTACATGATTATTGTTTCCAGCATCGTGAAATGAGCGTTGTGGAATCGCAGTCGTCTGCCTTTGGCACTGAGGACCTGAGGAGAGTTGATTGTTACTTCTACTCAGCAATGAAGCGATCATCAGCTCTCTTTGTTCTAATTATTGAGAGGACATACCGGCATCGCAATCAAGTAAAGATTAGGCAAACCTCGCCAACCTCCAACAAGAGACGAAGGTATCATTTCTCCAAATGCAAAGACGATCTTTGTGAGTTTGTGACTTGCATTTGCGTGCATACATGAGCAAGTCACGGACCACGGCACGTGCGCGGCTACCATGCCATCTCGAACCGACGCCATCTTTCTAAGTTGCCGCTTCTTGACAGCCGTGCCGGCGTCAGCCACTTTACATTCACTGTACAGCTTAGTATACAGAGTGAAAGGTACGAAGTTGCCGTTGCTATATTCATGAGATTAGCCAACTTGCGCGTGCACATCCACATAAACTGGCTCGTCGGCTCTACACAACACAGATCTGTGTGAGGAGAACCAAGAGCAAATTTTATTTACTCTTGGGAGAACTGGTGGTGGTCTCGAGAATGACGTTGGCGATTCTGCGACTCGGCCTTTCACGGCCAGCGCCCATTATAGCTATTCGCAAGTTTTGGAAGAGTGCAAATAAAGTCGCACTGGTCGTACTGGAGAGAGAGAGAGAGAGAGAGAGAGAGAGAGAGAGAGAGAGAGAGAGAGAGAGAGAGAGAGAGGAGCCTGCTGGAGAGAGAGAGCTCTCCTGGAGAGCATTATCTCGGAGAAGGACGTTCGACTGGAAGAGAAGGAGGTCAGAATCGAAGAGCTGACCTGCGATGTCGCTCGTACTGTTGCTAAATACTGCGCCGTTGTGTATAACCGCGTGGTGTTAGACCAGGGTCTACGGGTCGGGTGCTCACTTGTCACCAATGTATGTGTAGGTCATCAACTACACATTTGGGGCATGTTCGATTGGTAGGATCGGGATCCCAATCCACCGGATCCACTGGATTCACACCCTTTCGATTGGTCGAATACGGATCTGGATCCTTCGGATTTGGATCCGGTCAACCCACCTCGGGGAGCAGGGTTGACCGGATCCAACGGATCCAAATGTGACCTTCGTGCGTATATGGCGGATAAAAATCGTTTTTGTACACATTGTGGTACGCACACGTGGATCGAGATAGAGCTTGTTGACTTTTTGTACAACTGGCGCGGTGAGTACGACTTTCTATTACTTCTTCAACATGGCAACAGTCAAGGCCCCCCCCAAAAAAAAGTGTCCAGTTGACTCTGAAGGATCCGACGGATCTGAGATCTGGATCCCGATCCTTACCAATCGAACATGCCCTTGGACACTGCCCGCCTACGGTACTCTATCTGGAGATACTTTTTTTAAGTAGATATTTTGGCACCCAGGCGAGAAGGATAGCGCTCCCCCTACACACAGCCGTACACCAAACAAATAGTTTGAGCACACATGCCATACCATACCTGATAATTGCTGGTCACTTTCATTTCCAGCATCATCGACCTGGAGAGAGAGAGTGTGGGCAGGTACAGAAGGGAAGAAACACTGAAATAGGTAAAACATGTAGATTACTGAAATCCACCGCAGGCTGACATCACCTTTGCCAGGCACTACACATATTAGGAGCCAGATCATCAAGTCTGTGGCAAGCCCATCGCCCTTGGGGCCATTTTCATGCTTGGATGCAGCTTGTTTCGTACTTCGGAACAAATTAGGGCGCGTTCAGATTACCGTGAACCCCGTCAAACCGTGAATGCCGATAAACCGTGAAGGACACTCACACTACCGATAAACTAACGTTACCGGTACGTAAGTTTTGCACCTCTCAACGCGGCACTGAGAAGGGATTTTCCCTTTTTCCCAGCCTGAGCACTCTTTTTACTGCCGGAAAAGTTTTACTGCTGCAGCAGCCGCGGCAGTAAAACTTTTCCGCCGGTAGCGTGCCAGTAACGTCACGCGATCAAATCACCTTGGAAACTTTCCCATTCCGTCACTTTTTATCGGTAGTCTGAACGCGCCCTTAGCGAATTTCTGGCCACCGAGCTGACATACAGATGTCAGAGTTGGCAGGTGACCACCCACTGGGTCATACAAATCACATAATGGGCATGGGCATCTGAGCGACTGTCCAAAAACCTTATAAACTTCCGCACACAAAGTTATGTTTTCGGATGAACGAAACCTTGGGTCATTCGAGAAAACTAGAGCAGGAGAAACTCCTGGGTCACTTCTGTGAGAGCAGGAACAACAGCTACACAATAGCACACAACGATAATGAATTAGGACATTTCTCTTTAGGCATCAGGACCAAAACGGTGTTGAATGAGGTGTCGAACAATTGTTTTTCTTTTCTCTTCTTGGAAACGCGACTTGCTGGTCAACAACCTCGAAGGAAGCTAAAGATACTATCGTTTTCTAAGATAAAATTAGAAAAATGGGCAACTCCAGGATAATTTTCAAAAGACTCGCGCTTGCATCCGACGCCATATCGGATGAATGCTGACGAGACCACATGTAAACAGCAATGAGACGGTAGGTGAGTAGATCAGACCCACTACAAAGACTTTTGCAGTCAAAGACTGAAAGTGCCGTTCTCTGCACCCATGTTACCCAAACATGAACGTTTAAAATCCTAGTAGCAACCACTACACACTGCAACAGCATAGTGTCAACACTATGCCACTGACCTGCTGGGGAGTCTGCGAAAGGATCTCCTCTCCCTGGATATCACGATTCTTCAGATTGCCTATCCAGAAAGCTTGGTGGCAGTCATTCACTGATAACATAGCCTGCAGAAGACGCAAAGGAAAGAAAGGTAAAAAGCATTACTGGCAGTCACTGGCTGAGTTTGACGTCCCCCAGCAGAGAATTCTGCAACGAACAACAACAAAAAAGAGAAGAAAAAAGTGTGCCTGGAGAACCCGGGTATCGATCCCGGTACCTCTCGCATGCTAAGCGAGCGCTCTACCATGTGAGCTAGTCCCCCTGCTTGATGTTAGGAGCGAGCAAAGTATCCCTGTACTGTAAGTGCATCGGCGAGGAACAGCAATGCAGCAGAAATCGCTATTCAGCCTGTCTTACCTTGACCCTGAATACAAACGCTTCCAAACACTTCTTCAAAGCCGGCACATGGTTAGTCAGTACTACGTCTTTCATCACCTACACAGCAAGTATAGCAGCAACAGCAAGTATAGCAGCAACAGGAAGTATAGCAGCAACAGGAAGTATAGCAGCAACAGGAAGTATAGCAGCAACAGGAAGCATAGCAGCAACAACGGCAGCAGCAGTGGCGGCAGCAGCAAGAGCAACAGCAGCAACAACAAATTGTGGTCAAGGCAAGAATGAGCGCATGAAACCAGTTCAGAGAGCCTACGAGGGGCCAAAATGCAAGCCAGGAGGATGCCCAACTGGTGATATATCAGCATCCGACAAAGGTGATACTGTAGTTAGTGCACGAGCATGCAGTGGACCACGAGTTAACGCAGTCGCCAACATGCTTACCTTGGAGTGCCCAGAGAAGTGATGCAACGACCGTGTGCTCTGCTGAAGTGTCTTTAGCAAAGACTGCACGTCCTCCTTCACGTGCACATACGGAGTGAGCGGGCACACACCCACACCCACAACACACACGGATGCGCGTACACGCACATGCACACACACACATACACCAACAACACACACGGATGCGCGTACACACACACACACACAGTACACCATCGGGATGGCAGTTGCTGGTCAATCAGCGATAACCTCCTAATTCTGAATGGAAGCTCACTTACAAAGACAAACAACGTAAAGAGTCTAAAGACTAAATAATGCTGTCATCGCTTTTGAAAGTGCCTTTTGTGTGCAAAGGTGGCAGTCGCTTATTTCGTCAGACTTTCCCCTTTTCCATCTTTCTCCAATCAACACCACATTTATGCAAAGAACAGGGAGAGGAAACAAACATGTCTTCTAAGCTAAAGGCTCGGCAGTAGAAAATTACAGCCAGGGAGTCGTAAAATAGTATTTTACGACTCCCTGATTGCTGCCTGCTCGGAGGAGAGCAATTCGTCAACCAATTAGGTTAGTGAAACCCTTCCTGCTGTGCAACACATACAAAACACTGTACCTCACACGTAACGGTGCTAGTTTTTCTGGGAAACTTCGGCATGGTTGTGTCAGCTTTCAAGCACAGTCGGTGTGAATGTCAAGACGTGTGAGAAAGAATCACAGGAGAATTTCCAAGCATCTCCCCATTGCCTGTATGCTGGAGACAGCACATTACACACAGACCTTGTTTATCTGGGCGGTTCGGGACTGGGCACCGCCCGGTACTTTGAAATGTCCCTAACTCTGAATCACATGCATTTTGACCGGGAAGGGCCATACATATGGCATATGGCGTCGCAATTTCCACAAAAATTGACAAAAGAGTAGTAATATTTCCACTGAAAAGCGTGCCCGGTAGACCGAAGTGTCCGGACAACCGAGGTACGAGTGTTTATATGCAATATAACCCGGGTTCCTCTTTCACACCTCCACAACGCACACGGTGCACATATGCACCTGTACTAGCACACGGTGCACACATGCACACAACTGTTGCCTCTACCCATGCACTGCTTATATGCCTGCTATGTTGCTGCTGTTCTTCACTTCACTTTCTGTCTTCGTAGAGTTCCCTTGTTTTGTTACTAAATAGTGGTAGCGACTCTGGCGATAGTTATGAGAAAGTTGATTGATCCCAACAGTCAAGTGTGAAGTCAGGTTGGCGGGACAAGCGCGGGCTCCCGTGTTGGGAGCAACCAACTGTGTTTTGTTACTTGCGGTGCAATTCAAGTGTAGTAACTTATTGGCGTAGGTGTGTGCGGGCCTTCATCTGCACTGTTGCGATTTTCAAACGCAACATATGGGTGTCAGGTGTTTCAGAAGTGTGAGATCAGCAGCTCTGAAGAAGAGCTGTCTGAGTCAGTAACAGTCATAAGTCTTACTGATGTCATAATATGTACGCTCTATTCGTGCATGCACGATGTAAATGAGCGGCTTTGCCAGCTTGCTACACACGCATAAATACATCGCACACAGATATGAAAGCTTCGACATTTGGGGAAATGACCCGGTCGGCCAACACAAAACATTGTGATCATCTGTTTCGATCTGATTTTAAGTAAACACTAACCTTGCTAACTCTGAAGGTAGAGTCCAAGACAGGCATGCCCAGGCGCAAGAACGTCTCCACAAACATTCTCCCATACTGCAAAACACACCCATAGACAAGCACACATGCATGCACGGACACACACACACACAAATAGGGGACGCGACTCAAAGTGTGAAAGAGAGAAAGAACAAAGCACAGGCGAGACCAACACCGTTCTTCAGTACTGGATCGGGTGAACAGAACATTCAAATTACAGGCACGGTGATGAAAACATGACACAATGGCTACACCACATCAACTCAGGCAAAGAACAACACAAGAAACTGTGCACTATATTGCCAGGAGATGATGTGCACAAGCAGAGATGGTCAGCAACCAGGACACTGAGCTTGCATATGTGATGCAAAGTATTGAGAAGGTATGCCGACCGTATAGATGTGCCAAGTGAAATCAAACTTTCGGCTTTCCACAAACCAACTTTCATGAGTTCCAAGTGGGAAATGCACAATGGTCATTGAATGGCAATGCAATGGGATCAGAGTCAACATACGAATATCACGCACACAGATGACAGAGTGCACGAAAGAAACAATCCCGCAAGAATCCAATAAACAACGTTGGACAATAAGATTTACCTTCAAAGCATTGCCAAGGACTGGACGAACATCAAATGCCTATCATCACAAGAAAAAGAACACACAAAGTGACCAAGCCATCAGATGCAAACAGGGACCTCGCGCAATTAGCTGTGCACTGGAGAAGCACGCTCAATACATTTCATCCCCCCGAGCAGTTTGGAAATCTGCACTCAGTACTGCTGCACGGGGCTTATGCGTGTCTGGTATGGAGGGCAGTGATTGGCCATCACCATGTCGTTCATGATTATGGGTTCTACCCGTTGCCTCGTTGACCGATGCTTTGGCATTTTGAAACAGAAAATTCGCAAAAGCAACTGCTACTCACTACAGTATTAATCAGAGATTCAGCATGCAATGTGGCCTTTTCAATAACTCGTTCCAAAATCACACACACGCACACACACACGCACACACACGCACACACACACACGCACACACACACGCACACGCACACACACACACACACACACACACACACACACACACACACACACACACACACACACACACACTCAAAGTACCTTCACAAGGTTAATCAAGATGTAGAAGACACCAACAAAGAGCTGCAACTTGGTGAGCTGCTCACGTTTCACCTGCAATACACAGAGAATCACAAAACAGCTAGGAATGGATGGTGCAAGCCAGCAAGCCAAATATAACACGATGACTCAAAGATAATACATCTTCCGGGATGAGTCTGCATAGAGTTGCTGTACTAGTCAGCCTGGTCCAGTGTGTAATACACTGAAAATCCTACGCAGCTTTCTTCTGGCCCAATGTGCACTAGTAAACCAGAGTGTGTGTGTGTGTGTGTGTGTCCCATATGGTGCAGTGGTATGTGCAGTCGATTTCCAATCGGGTTCAATTCCCGACGATTATGGTTGCACACGTCTTTCTTCTCTTTCTCCTTCTCCTAGCTCTTCTTTCATTCTTCTGGGTGGATACCAACAGCCAGTGTATGCCAGAGTATGTGGTGTGGTGTGTGTGTAAAAAAATAAAAAAAACTGGCCAGAAAAAGTCACTTCAATCAGCTGTGTGGTGGATACCAGGCTAAAAATAGTGGCGGTCAGTTCATCAGCCTTGCAAGCGGTTGAATGGTGTAATCCCAGCATAAGTTGCTATGTCTAACATAGCTGTTCGCTATCATCGCTTCCACGATGGGCAGGTCTGAGGTCTGAGGTGTGTGTGTGTGTGTGTGTGTGTGTGTGTGTGTGTGTGTGTGTGTGTGTGTGTGTGTGTGTGTGTGTGTGTGTGAGTGTGTACGGTACACGCCGAGTAGACTTCAAGAAAAGATCAATATTTCCACATAAACATGAACTGCAGCGACAAAAGTCTTTTCAGCACAAGACTATGTTTTATACGGCACATTGCATTTGCTGCTTTTCTTGTGTAGGCAGTTGTTTGCAGCATGTAATTCCACTCATCGCGGCAGTCCTTATGTCCACGAGCACATTAGATTGCCACCAAAGAAAGAGACACTGGCAGACCCACCTCCATGGCATCAGCAGCTCTAGGCGCTGGCTGGGAACGCAGCAGGGCAACAAGCTCATGGAGCAAGCATCGATAGAACGACGGGAAAGACAACCTGGGACAACAGTGAACAAACCCGGGCCCAGGTACAATCACCACCAATTTGTTAAGCGACCTTTCCTTTGTTAAATCTCGCTACCATCGGATACGGCTAGTTGAAAAGTGACTGCCTTCCACTAGCACTACAGCTGTACATACAAACGCTCCATTTAATGCATGACCCACTAGACCATAAATATGTTGTCACGGGGGTTGGACTACAGCGAGGCTCAATACAATCCGGGTGTCGTAAGTTAATAGCGCCCGGTGCCATGTAGTCTCAGACCAGCAAACACCGCGCTTTACACTGGTGCAACGTGCCAGCTTACTCACAAGCCTGGATTTCATTGAGCACAGGTGTACATATTATACTACGTACTGGGGTGGAGAGTGAAATACGATCTACGGAATGAAACATTCCGGACTGCGCGGCCTTAGCACTACCGACACTGGGCTGTGCAGTGGACAGCGCTCTGCCTTATCCATCGGTTGGACTCTACACTCGCCACCGCTGTAGGCTGCATTCTGTGCACACTGCTGCATAGAATGGCGTGCATGACTCATATCAATACTGGGATATGAAACATCTTTTCAACAGGTACATGCTTACAATAGTACAGTGGAGCTCACCTACATATAGTACATACAGTACAATACAGTGCATACAGTACATACAGTGCATACAGTACAATACAGTACCCTGATAGGCATATACTTGCTTAGTGCATGTACAGCCATTGTCTGGGGTACAGCTGCCTTGCCTAATAATTAGGGGTGAAAGTTCGCACTGAGATCCCGAGTTCGAGTACTCTGATTTTCTCCGATTGTATATTTGAGTATTCTTGATATCCTAAAAGTCGCACACCAAGGGCCTTAAAAAATCACATGGTGCAACCCTGATTGAACCAATTGGCAGTCCTTTTCTCGAGTGTATTGGTTGGTGGGTCTTTTGGGCTCTCTCTACTCATGTACAAATGCTCACCACACACTCTGCACATCAATGATCTGCTGACTGCTGCTCTGAAACTGCAGACTTCTGTGGTAAATGCATGTACCATGCATGAGCGAGTACTCTGATTTATTCCGAGTACGATTATATTTGAAAAATCCAAACGAGTTTTCGAATATTTGGTATAATTGTTTCACCCCTACTAATAATGGAATATGTTTTTCTGATTGTCCGCAAAATCCAACGCAGCCACTTACACATCTAGGACACTTCACTTCTCAACTCCAAGCTCCAAAACGGTCTCTTCACTGCGATTCGAATTAAAATTAAGATTTACATTACAGTGAAAAAGGAGAAGGACAAAATGTTACGAGTTATGACTAACTGTCCACCAACATTACAATGTAAAAATTGGAGTTTGGAGTTGAGAAGTGAAGTTTCCTAAATGAAGCATGTTTGGATAAGAAACACCCCAGATACTAAGTACATATTTTCCTGTTCCCCATGGTGGTACAGGTCTTATCAGAGAGCTGCACTGTACTGAGTAGTGAGTACTGGCTCACTGTGTGACCACGGTAACCATTACCTGTTCAACGTAGGGTAGAGGGATGTCTGGTGTATGTCCTCGGAAAGTAGCTCTGGTGCTGCCTTGCCGGCTATCGTCTCCATGACTGACAGCGGGTCTTCAGCACATGTTATGTGTAACCTAGTCACACACACGCACACACACACACACACACACACACACACACACACACACACACACGCACACACACACACACACACAAGCACACAGAGCATGCACGCATGCGCATGCGTGTGCACACACACTTACACACTTACACACACACACACACATGTACAGACACAGACACACACAAACACACACGGCGAGTGTTAGACCATTGAGAAACTACTGGGAATAAAAGCAACAATGGTCTCCCAGAGTGCTACAAGGCAGGAACTCGGGTGTTGCAAACAAATTGAAAAATCATCCAGTTCACAACGAGAAGAGAGAGAGAGAGAGAGAGAGAGAGAGAGAGAGAGAGAGAGAGAGAGAGAGAGAGAGAGAGAGAGAGAGAGAGAGGAGTGGAAAGTGCCATATGGTGTAAACACAAGTACTTACTTCAACAAGAACACCAGAGACTCGTTCGCCTTCGTGGACTTCTTTTCCGACGGCCACTCCTTTTGCAAAAAAGAGCCAGCAACCTCACCTAGAGTAGTAATAGACCAAGACAAACATACATGCAACCAGTATACATGTAACCAGTATCACACCACCGAGTGACTGGGAGACAACATTCGTACAAGCAACCATGAAGCACCATGACAGGAATAGGAAGAAAAACAGGAACCGGAACAAGAAGAACATGTTTACAGTCTAGGACCATCTCCATATGGCCTTTGGCTAGAGATGCACACCAGGTTTTTATACTTCCTCCGCGTCATCGAAATTGTCGCAGTTTGACTAGTGACTTGTCACTTGTTACTGACAACTCCATAAGCTAAGCCATTCAAAACTTATTACACAGTATGATAGTCTGAAGACTAGTGTAACGTTCCAGGACAGCTGGACTGAGAGTTTTCATGCAGAGATGAAGTCCTCGTCGTCGCTGATGTCAATGGACGCAAAAATATCGTTCTGAAATATTTCAAGGAAGGTTGAAAGTTGGTCGCGCCTCATCTCAAACGCTTTGACTTTCTCCACAGGACCAAGAGCTGCTATGCTTGTCGTCTGCTAGCTCTGGATGATTTCTACTTCACCACCAACGAAGCCTAGTAAGAATACACGATCGTTGCGAGGTCGGTTGATTACCGTCGGTGGAATCACCTCGATCTTGAAATGAACTTTTTTTAGCCGTGGCATGCCCATTTATTTTAGCTGTGTGGTCACAGCTCATGCAGGTAAGTGTACTATCACGTCCAGAGCGCCCTCTTTTTCAGCATCACTGGTATACCATGGCCCGCTACGGCACCTGCGCGTGCATCACTAGCACTACGTGTAGAGTCTACACAGCTCTTGCAGGTTCAATCATGTACTGAGTGTCTCAGCCAGAGCGACAAATTTTATCGCTGTTGCAAGCATTTAGTTTGCTGACCCTCGATGTTTCTCCAAGCGCTGCCACTTGTTCCACGAAGTCATTCTCACCCCAGCTAAGGTAAAACAGTGATGAGGCTTGAGTGAATGGCCATCAGCACGAGAAATGTGCAGGCTGCAACGCCTGACTGATCTCAGCGAGTCGATATTACCATCGCAGCGACATCAGCGAAGAAATTGCGTCTAGTTCAAAAATTCCAGCTTCCAATAACAGAAAATAGACCTTTGCCGTCACCCTTTACTGATGACTATCGCCTATGTCGAATTCCTTGCCTCTGGTACGAGTGCTGGAGAGTAAATACCCCGTTTTATATCAAAAGTCAAACTGCGACAATTTCGATGACGCGGAGGAAGTAAAATATAAGTTTCCGTGCATGGCACGGTAAGTGAAGTTACCAACCCACCAACAATTACATTCCGAACATAATTTGCACGTACTTGCCATAGCGCATCACGTGCCCGTGCAGAACACGCACTCCGAACTCCCGCGCTCCGACACGGGACCGCGCGGAGCATGCGCATTACTCCAGCTCTCGATGCTGTTTCTTAGCTGTGTCATCCAACATTTTTTTCTGGCTATCTAGGGTGATCAGTTTCTTTGTTGGTAAGACCGTGTGCATTAGTAGCACATCTCGAAATCTTGCACCTGTCATGGTGTTGCATTATTTCTCAGTCCAAATACCACATGCATGACCCATATCATGGACATTTGCTGGTGTTCACCAAGACAAACAGAGCTTGAGAGAGGGTCGCTCTCATGCTACAATGCTTCACACATTCATGTGAATTTCTACCACACACACAAACATCCTCTCACATAATATGTATAAACACACACACACACACCCACACACACACACCCACACCCACACCCACACCCACCCACACCCGCACACACACACACACCCACACACATGTACACACTTACTTAGCTCCGCTGATAATGCAGTAGTATCCACTTCGTCACGCAGAACCTGGAGCTGCTGACAGAGTAGTGTTGCTGTGCTGAGATCCGGGAGAGTGGTGCTGAAGTTCTGCAAGTACTGGAATGATTGACTGCACGCAGGGACACAGAGTCGAACAAAACAAATTTTACATCACAAGCAGCAGGAACACATATACGCTGCATACACTGCACAGTTCATGAAGGGTGATGGTGAGTCCAATGCAGCGGCAGAAAGGAAAGTGAGACGCACACGTCACGGCTATCGCTCACCTCTTTGCTGGGGCCGTTTTTCACAAAGCATTATCATTTATCAAGTCACCGATATCACAATACGAGCAGCACATGTACCGGTATATACCTGGCTAGGAAGCTGAGGTGCTGACTTTTCTTGCTCTCACCAATGTCCAGTCGAGCGGCAAAGGCACGATAGATGTCACGTCGCACCACCTTTAGACTAGATAAGCCATTCCTAGAGGGAGATAGATATAAACATAGAGAGAGAGAGAGAGAGATCAGATGGAGAAAAAGATGAACTCACCAGTCACATACTGGACACTCTGCAGTGTCTGAGAGCAAACTAGGCTGTTTTCAACACGCAGAATACCCCTCTCTCCCCCCCCCCCCCCATACTGGACATAGGCCCGCACATACTCAACATAAAGAGTGTGATCACAGTAACTGGAGAGTACTGCAGCCACAAGGTCAACACCTGACAAAACAAGCACGTAACAACGTACCATGAAAGCAGAATGGTGATGATCTTCATGATCTGCCGATATATCTCGCGCACGGTTTTGCTCTCTCCACAATCCATCAGCTCGGCAAAGCTTGCATCGTCCAGGTCGTCATCACCATTACCATCGTTTAGTTTCTGTTGTGAGAAAAACACAAGTACATTAGCAGCTAACTAACTACAATTTCAAAGAACACTAACACTTCCTGACAAAATAACTAAACTGAAACTCTACGTGATATTCCCCCTCTCCAATGATGATCAGAGATCAAAGCAGTGAAGAAGTTTAAAAAATAACGTTATCTCCCAAAACATGGTAAATGAATCTGGCTAGGAATAGGATCATATTAACCGTTCATGGCAAGATTATAACTTATTACAGTACCAAGCGGCCATAGAAGAGCACATGTTCAACTCGTTATCTCTTTTCTACACTCGCTTGCTTCAAAATACATGCGCTCATAAAGCAACAGGACGTGTTTAGAGACTGCCGCGGGAAACGTTATAGGGCTTGAAAGTGATGACGTCAAAAACGGCCAGGGAGTAGTAAGTTGACATCAGACTTCTATTTTGGATCCACTAAGGTGTGACTTTGCTATTGCCTCCAGGGATCGATTTATCCGGGTTCGCATCGCAGTTTGCGAATCAAAATTCACTGGCTGCGATTCGCTTTTCGTTTTTTATCGCCCAAAACTGCGATGCACTACAAAGACCAGTTGTGTGCAGTCTACATGCGACTGTTGTACACACTGCTGACTAGGGAGTAGTATTTTACTACTCCAACCAACTGCCAACTGGCCTGTCCTGCTCAGTCCGCGCGGGGGTCGCGGATCGCGCTCTTTCGATTTTGGACACTGCACTAGCACTACACTGGTCGTACATGACTGCACAGTCTGCAGTGTTCTGAACTTTTGTACACGGCGGTGACTTTTCCTGATGTTCTCCTTTCTTCTTTCACCGTGTCAAGCTCAGTTTGTTTCTGTTCGACAAGACACAGTTGAAGTAGATGGTTCTTAGTCTCATGTAGCCAACATGTCAGTGAATCTGATCAGTGGTTCACTGTCCAGAAGAGGGACAAAGAACTGGACGCGCCAGGAATGTCGATTCGTTTCGATGAAGAAAAGGAGAAAAGCGAAAATCGATGCGCTTTGCACGAAATGTCACGATCGTTTGAGCGCTTTCCTGAGGTTTCTTTGTCGAAGGAAACAGTGGAACTGCCCTGTTGAAGGACATTGTGTTGTGAAGAACTCGAAGTCGGATGGACGCTGAACATGTAACGTGCCCAAGCGAAAACTCTAACGTAAATATTCAGGTCGAACATTCGCTTGGAAAAGCAAATAGCAACTGCAGCTATTGTCCTCTTCTGTACGAAATCCTGCTATTGTACAGCTATACATGTAAACTTTTGATGAAGGAAAACTGCTAATCAATACTGGGAGTTGCTAGTCAATTGTAAAACTGTGTAGCAGTGACTGCTATGCAAAAAAATCAAAGTAAATCGATCCCTGGCCTCAGTATGTGGGTGCATAGCAACCCACTCATGTCGTATGCAGGGGTGACTTTTACTTCGCCACCAGTTGTAACCACGCCCCCAGTAGCCAAATCAGTCAGTTTCACTGGTAACATCACCTTGCTGTGAGTAAGACGGCTTGAAATGTGCTTGGATCCATACAAAAACTGGATCCAAGTGGACCCAATTTTTGAATTTTTGAAATTGTTGCTATGCTGTGACGTAGCACTTTCAAGCCCTATTAGCAAGGGCAGCTAACACTAGCATGACAAGTGATGTGCAATCAAGCACCATCCATACCTGTAAGAACTCATGTGCCCATTCAACATGCTCACACAACCAGGGTAGCATGTCCAATACACGACGAGCAACTTCAGCCGGCTTGAAGCGCTGCAGCAGTGTGAACCCTGACGGCGGAGTGCGATGCTTGGCCTTCGGAAAAAGGAGGAAGCAAGAATGTGTACCATGATCTAAGCTAACAGACTGTTATGATCCATACGTGTATGTACAGTCTATATCCAGCCCACTGATAATGGTGCAGAGCCACTCCGTTTTATGTGTCTATCAGCACTGCTTGTTGTACTGTAGTGCATTATCATACTACTAGTACTACGCATTCGTTCCTCATGTTGTATTCACGTCAGCTGACGTCTGATGCGCGTAGTCGCGTACACTGCTTTCATTCCTCATGTTGTATTCACGTCTGATGCGCGTAGTCGCGTACACTGCTTTCACTTCTCATGTTGTATTCACGTCTGATGCGCGTAGTCGCGTACACTGCTTTCGCGCGATCTTTTGATTTGAATGTTTTGAATCTCCGCTTCTGCTTCGAGAGAAGCAGAACTTGCCTTTGTACTGGAAGATGATTTCGATAAGAGTCAGAGTAAAACATTATAATACAGTCTTCTTAAACAATGAGTCGTGTGCTATCCGGAGGCATGTTCGAGTAAGAACAGTGTATGTATCATTGAGCTAGCAGTATACTGATTAACTAATACTGATCAAAAATTATAGCATAGAATGGTAAGATCTTTGATAGCCTGGACATTCCGCGTAGAAATATACTGTAAAGCGACAAACTTTCGCGGCGCGCAAATTTAGCGTTTTCATAAATTGGGCTGATTCAAGATGAGAAACTTTTGCGATTCTATCTCTTCAGTCGGATCTGTACTGTCTACAATCAATGTACAGAGAGGTTTGCGGCGATATATTTAATCTCTAGCGAAAGTTTCTCACTTTACAGTAACAGCTACACATTACTTACAATCACGCCCGTGCACACCGGTTTACAAGAGGAGAACACACATGTACACCGACACAGACATACACACACAAACCTTCAGGGGAGCATACATTGAGGCAGACATATAAAGTTGGATTACAAACACAAACCTGCAGGGGAGTATACACCAACACAGATATACAAACACACACACACACACCTTCAGGAAAGATCCACGCGCAGACACTGTTGCTGGTAGGATATGGTTGAGTTTCCGCCGCAAGTCGGACAGCAAGAGCAACAGCTGCGGTGGTTGCATGGAAATGACTTCAACAGTCTACAGTGGAGCACAAACAAACACAGTAAGTCATGTTTACAATGAGAGCAGGTGAGCGTGCTTTGCATGCACCAACAACAACAAAGAAACACAAAAATTAAGGAAGAAACGATTACACCGATTACTCGGAACTTTAACGGTAAATACTCGAAAAGAAGAAATGGGGCCAAACTAAAAAAGGTGTGGTTCGACTAACATGGACATTTTTTTACGGGCGGATTTTTAAAAAAATATATTTTTAGTACATGTAAATACACTGTACTGCCTTTAGACACCCAGTACATCGGCATTATTACGCAGTGTTATGCCATACATGTTGTATAAAGGGATCACCTTAATCTGGAACGAGGCAATCACTCTCAACCGGACGGTCACTTCAAAATAAGTCTCGACAGTCTGCCGGTGGTCGTATCGAGTAGACTCTACTACCAGCACAAGGCAGCAGTCGTACCACTCACTGCACTGCACTGCAGTACAACTACAAGTCAAGTCCAAAAGGAGCCGCCTGCGTCCGCAGACTCACGCTGCACAGCACGTGGACGTATTCAGTCCACGTACGTCAGTCACACGACAGCCCGCCGAAAAGAAAGTTACGGTCGGGTGAGTCGAACCACAGACTTTTTTCAGTGTGGCCTGGATAATTGTTTCACAGAGGTCTAGCCAGGATGTTATGCCAGCCGGCCAACGTTCTAGTGAAAATGCATCGTTCTGAAAGCTGCGCCCCCAGACCCCCGCCATCAGTCACATATCCACACAGACACACACACACCACTACAAATCTTTCATTGCAGCTTGCATCTCCTTTCGCTTCGTCCAATTATGGACATTCATCAGGCAGTTGTGACAATGTGATTATAGGTAAATTAACAAAATATGAAAAAGGAAGCAAACAGCTACATGAGCATGGATCATATGTTCACCATCGCCATGTCTGCAGTGTACATTGGTCATCTGACAAGACCCAGCCTAGCCACGAATGGTCCACGATATGACAGTCCAGAGTCTGTAGCTGTCAGTGTCACAGCCGTGTACGCCACCGGAAGCAGCGAACCATGACCCGACCTGTTACATTACCTACGCCTACGGATATGGGTTGTACTCCACCATCTCGACTCAAGTGCTAGTGCAGTGCACTACAGTCTACATGCGTGACCTCAAGTGGGTGACTGCGTGACCTCAAGAGTTGAGTGCATGCAGTACGCCGTACTGTACGGGATCTACGCAAGTACAGTGCACTAGTGCAGTGCCAGTGCAGTTCAGTGGAAGTTTTCGCTGCTGCCGTGCCGGTCGTTCTGTTTCCACGATTATTCGGACATTGTAGTGGCAGAAACTGGACCTATTTTCGACAGCTGACAGTGGTCGACTCTTACCTTGGCGGATGATAGTGGGCTTGGTGACATGATTGAAAGAAATATGATCCCCGAACACAGCATGCTACAAATACTTGTACTTGTAGAAACTGAAAATTTCTCTAAATCTCAATTGTTTGCCAGCCGGCCAAAATAACCCTTGGAGCTGTCTCAGCCGGCAGGTCGCCCTCCCAGCCGGCATTCTGCCGGCTGAGCCGGCTTTGGCTAGGTCACTGGTTTCATCTCTACACAAAACGCATGCATACAGCCCTGGACTCCCTTCACCTCCTGACCTTCGTGTGCATCTGGGAGTCCAGCTCTTTCTTTGTGATGCAGGTGTGCTGTATGAGGCAAAATACATCCATGTCTAACTCCCTGCAGCACGAAGCAAACACAAACACCCACCCACACGCGCGAGCGCACGTGTACACACACACACACACACACACACACGTACACACACACACACACACACGTACACACACACACACACACACAGAGAACACCATGGTCTACTATATCAATGAGTTGAACAGAACAGCAGTGAGTAAAATCTTGCAACCGGGCAGACACCACTTCTCCAACCACCATTGCTCTCCCGGGCAGAACCATTTCTCCAACCACCATTGCTCTCCCGGGAACACATAATTTGCGTAACAATTACTTCGCAGTAAATGCAGCGGACAGCCCAATAACGTTACTCACCTCACACATGCCTGGTAATGAGACAAAAGACAAGTGCCAGGCGGAAGGGTAGGTGTTGAGGAGGACGAAGTGGCAGCTGCGGCAATGGAGGAGGGCACCGAAGCCGCAATGGAGCCATCAAGGTCCTGTTGTGCACGGTAGTACACAAATAAAAAAAGAACCAAAGCAGAGCAGTAAGGACAACTAAGGAGTGTGCCCAGGACTTTGTCTCTCTGTGTGCCGTGTGTCCATATGAACTTTGCAAGACAAAAAAAGCTGAGGTAATGTTAGGTATCATCATGTTGCTGTTGCAGGCACAATGGACGTATTCTTGCACCAAGCTACATGTACAAACACAAAGAGACAGTTTGCAAGAAGGAAAACAAAGACAACACAAATAGAGAATAAATCAAAGAAGTTGGTCACCTGCCGCACCACTGATGAGGAAGTTCAGCTGTGGCACAAAGCAACACCCTCACAAGAAAAAAACAAAATGCATAAACACAATGTCATGTAGATCGCACCCACCTGTTGTGACAAGACGTCGTCAGATTTGGCGGCTGCATCATCTGCTGCTTTCTTCCTACACATTGCACAGCCAACAAACACACAACGCACAAGCCCTGTACATCAACGATTACTCGTAGCTGAAGCAAATAGAAGGTAGACACGACCAGCCAAGGGACATGCATTCGGCAGCAAATTGAACCCAAGTCACACAGCATTCGTGATGGCCTTTTGACATTAGCTAGAACCGTATATGCCCCGTGAATGGCAATGCCAATGGTCAGTGCTTACTTTTTCGTGGGTTTCCTGCCTCGCTTGCCGCCACCGCTACCTGCACTCCCGGTCCCGTTTGCTGCGGCAATGCTACTGATGACATCACCGACTGATTTGACTGCTATGTCCTCATCAAACACAGCCAGCGGAGGTACAAATGACGGTGTCACTGCAACAGGAAACAAAGCACACATGGCATATTATATACACAGTGAGGGTACTCAATCTGCGGACAGAACTGTTTCGTCCCTTGTGGACTCATCAGCGCAGTGAGGATATGTAGAGTGCCATAACAGGTTGTACCTCAGTGACTCTAAGTGCAGAAATGTCCTCCTTGGCCCATGCAGGGCTCCCAACATTTGCCCAGTCTCTAGCCCTCGACCATTAAATCCAGCTATACGAAATGTACCCCACGTACAAAGCAGACCCAGGCTGCAGCAACACACACGCACCGGCCAAGCATCGCTCCAGAACTTGCTCCAAATGCGTGATGTTCTGCAAACGCTGCACAACTTTCCCCTTCATTTCACCATCTTCCTGAGTAGCAAACGCATTGATTATCTGCAATCATACACATCAAAAAGAAGACGGAACGGCCAAAATTGTGAATACACCCCTGCCTTTTGTTGTGATCTTAACCCTTTCAGCCCTGACCGGAAAATCACCTCCCACTGGGCCAAAAATGGCAATTTTTGAAAATGCATATTCTGGTCCAAAATTGATTGGAGATGTTGGGTATGGACATATGCACTGTGAATCCAAAGAAATTTTGTAGGATTTCATTGTACGAGACTCATAACACCATATTTAGATATGCAACTTTTGGCAATTTTTCCTCAAAATTCATTCAATTTGGGCAATTGGCGACAAAGATCAGACAAGCAATGGCAAGCAGTGCTATAACTGGTCAGTGTTGACTTCAGAATGGAGAAATGTCATATAACATGCTTGATATGATCCTGGTGTTCTACGGCAACCTAGACTAGAGTACAGCAACTCGTTATATACGGCGCTTGCATCATATGCGACTTCGCGATCCAGAATGGGTCTTTCTTTTTCTTGGGAGCCTCGTAAAGCTTGAATCCTCCAGCAGCCCTACCTACTTCAAGACAAAACCATATGATGGACAGTGAGTATGCCGAGTAGCTGGAGTAGCAACCATATCAACTGCATCAGCTATAATAGCAGCCGGTGCAGTGGCAGCGGTTGGCTCACTGTGTTCGGCGCATCCAAGGGTGATTCATCTCTGGCCGCACGCGTACGTACGTACGCGGCACAGGTAAAGTCATATTGATGGAGAATGCAATGCTGCTCATTCTCTGATTTGGACACTCACTGGCAAGACAATCCAGCTATCTAAATAGTCTGAAGCATTCCCTAAACAGCCGAGTGCATACTGCGTACCGGTGTACGTACGCATGAAAATTCAAGAAACAATCGGCTGCGCAATTTCTGATAGTGATTCAAAATTGCACAATTATTGACTATTCTGGATTATTCTGGATTCATATTAGATAGCAATCTCCATCCTGTAGGTGCCTGGCTCTGTACTAAACATACAATACTTACATGTATGCACATCTCTATTGTGATCTGCATGCATGCCTGACCAGTACACTTGACTTCAAATTCAAATATTTTCAAAAATCTGACCTTCAAATTTGATCGCAGTTTACTTGAGGAACTTCAGCAAACGGGCTCACGACAGATAGTTCCTGCTCAGAACACCATGCCTAGTTGTCAGAGACTTCAGCATCGCTTTCCAAATCTCTTTGGTGTCCAGCATCCCCTGCGTCCGAGTCAGCTGCGATCTTTTGAATAGCAGCAAATTCGTAATCCTCAGAAGACGACTCCGACACAATTTCGCTGTCTCCAGAATCATCCTCAGAGTCATTACCCGCCTCACACTGCTTCACAGGACTCCTTCCATCGACACAGAGTAGTTGAGCTACTTACCTTGCCGAGAAACAGCAGGGCAAGATCACGAAAACGAACTTTGAGCAAAACAATTTATTTGAACGATATGCCAAAAATACGCACTTCAAACTCGATGCTCGCGGCTGTTCTGCTGTGCAGACTGGCCACATAAGCTGCGTACACGTCGATCAGGGCCTTCAGCCCACTGAGGAACAGTTCCAGGCCCCACTGATGTTGAGGCATCAGTACAAACGCGACATACACTGAGGACGTATATATACGTCGTCAGTGGGGCAGGTGCACACGTCATGACGTATATATACGTCGACAGTGGTGAAAGGGTTAACAGTCACAATCATTTGTAGAATACCGTAAAGTACCGTTGATCCGCACCTTGTCTAATTTCTGCCTGTGAAGCGACGTCGGCGTATTCAACGACATATGATGTTCAACTGACGCAGGTACTGCTGTACACAATACGTGCGAGTGCAGGATGTGCACAATCCAGCATGCCAGGTCTGATCTTCTGCTTTGTTGTACATCGTACTGCACTTGAACGACTTGATCTAATTCCCGCCCCCTGCCGAAAACGGATCAACGGTACTTTACGGTAATAACAAGAGTAGATAAACAAGAGTGTGCAACTCCCGAATGGGTTGGCCCACAGTGGAAATTATTGTTGACGTAATCTTTTCTACGACGCACGCACTGCGAGTCTTTCGGGAAGTTTTGCCTCGCTCACTTGGCCGGGCAAAACATTACAAGGTCGGTGCCAAGCACGTGGTCTTACACTGCTCTGCAGCAAAATGTGCGTGCTACTGAAAAAGGTGATGTCAACAATAATTTCCACCGTGGGCCGGGGTATCTGCAGATTGTGCAGGAGAGTTACGGAGTTGCACACTCTTGCTTGTCTACTTCTGAAGTACTCTTGATAATAAAATTTAATATAGACCTTCGTGAAGACACCTCTAACTATGGCCGGGAGACCCCGGTCAAAGTCCAATACAACCAGCAAACTTCCCTGTGGTTATTGCTAAGGAAGGCAACTCATTATTGGAGTATAACTGGCTGCAACACGTTTGTCTGGATTGGAGTTTATTTGCTCTGTTGTCGCACCTTCCATGTTTCGTGAGTCAGCAGTGAAGATATAACACCTTTTCCAGTCCACAACAAATAGCTCCCAGCAATTATGAGCAGCTGTCTCAAGCTGGACTTCGGAACAGCAAAGTCCCATCAACAACATAATTATACGAGTCGTATGCATCGGGCTGGATGCAAATTCTTTCTATCATTGCCAACACACAACATGTCTAGTCAAGATGAGGGTATAGGACCGTACCTCACGGCACCAGTTAATAGCCAGCAGAAGACTGGCACAGATTCTCAGCTTCTGCTCCGTTGGCAGGGAAGGGAACTTCTGCATGACACTTTCCGTGCAGAGGACGAGCGGACAGCCTGTAGGACAGACAAGACAGCATGGATGTCAGAATACCGCTTGCTGCTGACGTAGGACATGCACACATGTCGTATTATCCCCATTACTAGAACATGCAGTCTCTAAATAGTAGTACAGATCTGACTCCCTCTGAAAAGGGAAAGTATCGTACTCTCTTGGTGTATCTACTGGAGAGTCACTGGATCCTGTAGGTATGTTATCGTCACTGCCCCCTCCCCGAAGACAGTTGTTCTTGGTTCTCAATCGTTACCCCCCCCCCCCCCCCTGCCGTCACACCTTGGTACGAGCAAGAGCAAAGCACACTACGAACAATACAGAACAGGATGGTTTACAGAGAGTGCACCTTGAACAATACAGAACAGGATGGTTTACAGAGAGTGCACCTTGAACATTACAGAACAGGATGGTTTCCAGAGAGTGCACCTTGAACATTACAGAACAGGATGGTTTCCAGAGAGTGCACCTTGAACATTACAGAACAGGATGGTTTACAGAGAGTGCACCTTGAACATTACAGAACAGGATGGGTTACAGAGTGCAAAGTGCTCATTGACTCACCAAGCAAAGCGTCAATTCCTTCCAGACTCTGCGAATGCTGCATCTTCTCACACTGCTGAAGCAATGAGAAATGCGAGGGCATGCTGATCAGAGATGATGTGGGGCATGCCCTGTACGTCACACAAGCACGCACACATGTACACACACACACGTCCACACACGCGTGCACCCACGGCAATAGAAAGAACATGTAGGTGCTGCAAGCGCCGTGACCAATCAGTCAACAGCTTGGCAGGAATACGGCATTCAGCTACTGTCTGCACTGAGCTATTATTGATTAGCAATGCAACCTTTGTAAAGGACACATTGCCTAGCCTTCCTAGCTGTACGCTGGGCTGAAAGCTGTTAATGTCTAACCAGTGTGCATGATCGGTGTACTCCTCTCAATGTGTTCATAATTACTGGTATTGCCAGTGCTTCCCCCAGAGATGGCTGTGTAATCAAAAGCCAAACTAGGGATATTGTCAACTAACCAGCAGCACAAGCTCATCACAACAATGGCAACAGCAGCCAAAGTAACAGCAGCAGCAGCAGCAGCAGCAGCAACAACAACAAAACAACAAAAGTGCTTCAAATGTTATTCTAGCTTGCTCCAGAGATTCTTAACTTGCGACGTACTGGTCTGACATTCGAGCAGACAGACTAGGTGCTGGCACCTTGGCCAAGAGTGGCATTAGATTCACAGCCACGCTTCCATCATCTCCAACATCGAGGTTGTAAGCAAGTCCCAGTTCCAATGGTGACGCTCTACAGAACAGTTGGCAAGAATGAATAAAACAAAAGCCACACGCTCGGAGCTACTTACTTACGAATCAAACAGCCTGGACTCGTGTAAAAGAATCCAATCTAGGAGATGTTCACGAGACCCTAAGCCAGACCTGACCCATTGACTCCTTTTATATGAAACAAACCAGTCAGCACCACGACTCTAGGTTATCGCACCGCCATTGGAAAAAAAAGTATTCCTTTGTACAGCTGTTTCGATCATACAAATCTCATGCTTGTTCACGTTCAAATTCAAACATGCAGCATTGCCACACAAGCAAATGCAATGCCAGTGTGTGCCCCCTCCCCACGTCCAAAGCCAGTCAGTAACCACTGCACTTCACAAGCCTGAGCAAGCAAGAGTGGGACTGAGTGTGAAAGAAAAGTACATCTCCTATCGCAGCCATGCATGGTACGACACATACACATGTACATCTGCTATCACATCCATGCATGGTACGACACATACACATGTACTCACTGTGGTAAGGCACTTTCTGATTCCATCAGGAATGCATCTTGAAAGTCAGCTACAACACAGTCGGCAATCCACGTCTACAGTACACACAGGACAGCACAAGTCATACCACAGAGAGATGCGGCCAGAGAGGCTCCATCAGGGATAGAACAAAAAGCGAATACTGCAGCACCAACCTACTACAATGCCAATTGGCAATGAGCACTTTTCCTTTCGTATCCATACTCTTCTAAGCCCAAAGTAAAATGCAGGTACATGTCTCTGGCACGTGCCCTGCGAATCCTCATCATTGCATACGTACGTACCAGTATTTTCATGTCCAGTCGTCCACGGCAAACTATTGCCGTTAGCTCATCATAAAAGAGAGATGCAGCCAGTGGGTGTTGCACACAGTTACTCCGCACCATATCCAGCAACGCAACAGTCTGCAGTTAGCCAGAAACACAGTCCAATGCCACAATCGTATTACAGTCAGACCTCGCTTATCCGGTCCACTTTTATCCGGATCCCTCGCCATCCGGAAGAAAATTGTTGGTTACCGATTTCCAGGATATGTCATGCGCACATACAGTATGTGTGTTCGATTATCCGGTTCCCTCGCCTATCCGGATATTTTTTTGTGGAAAACGGATGTGTGCGGTTAAGCGAGGTCAGACTGTACCAAGGCTTGCACTGCCACCACAGGATACACATAGAGAAGCGCATCGATGCTTACATTCATCTAAAATTCACCATGGTCACGGTTCACACCTCACCAAATGAAATGAAGTAGAATAGCAAAACCTCATCCTATATTATAAAAGGCACCAACATACTGCAAGACGAAAGCGTTATCGGCAACACTTTGCTTGCCTCCTGCCCCAACATCGGTAGGAGAGTGAAACTCATCTACTCCTTACAGAGTATTAAATGTAGATCATAAGCGAGGATTTTTGTTTCTGTATTATCTGATCGTTGAGTCCCAGAAAACAAGCCGGTGCAACTTTTCTTTCCTCAAACACAGTACAGTCGTCCCTCTCTAATCCGGCACCTTTTGCTACGGCATTTTCTGCTGGATGAACGAGGGTGCTGGATTAAGAAATCCTGCCCTCTGACCCCGCCCTACCCAATTACATGCATGTATCATACGTCAAAACGCAGGGTTTTTCCGTGTCGACCCCAGTATTTGGTGCACGGCTTTATATTCTCAACTTTTCTCCAGGAATATACACAGTGATAAAGTAAAACAGAGAACATGTTCACATGTATACGTACTCTTGCACACACACGCACAGTCGATTTACGACTGCCGGATTATGAAATCAAACTACGTGCAGTTTGAGCGATTCGTTTCAAAAAGTCACTGCCGGAGGCGGAATTCAAGTGCCGGATTAAGATGTAGGAATTGAACGAAAAAATCGGTTTTGTCAGAAAGTGTGCCGGTTGGGAAGGGTTCCGGATAAACAAGTGCCGGATTAGAGAGGGACGACTGTATAACCATTTCAGTCTGTTTCAGGAAATCTATAAAGGATATACTGTACTGTGTTTTGCACGAGAATCCTTTTCATACGCACAGTGACACACATGGTAAGCTGACAAGGCCACTTGACCTTTGAACTTACCTGCTCATACGTCTGACCAGAGAGTGTTGACGGCTGACTACTCGTCTCCGTATTGGTCATGGCTGCTTCCGTCTCGCCAGGTCGAGCTGCGGCCATGGCACTGATCACAGACACAGCACCGATGATGCCCATTCTCTTGTAGCGCAGCTTGCTGTTAGTCAGCTGCTTGCGAATGATGATGTGCATGTCGTCAGCCACGTGGCCAGCGTCGCAGTCGCCGCAGAACGCCAGCTGAGAGAGCAGCGTAAACAGCCGCCGCAGCTGTGTCACAGACAGATTCTCCAGGTAGTCCAGCATTCCCTGCCACCAAGAGAGCAGCGAGTGGAAGAAAAACACAAAGAATGAAAAGACATGGAACAGGATCGGAGCCTGTTCAGAAACACAGCAAATTACATGCAACAATGGAACACCTGGCCTAACTGCCACGTAATTTGCACAATGCCGAGAAACAATGCTACAGACAACTTCAAGTTGAGGTAAATCTTCACAGGGCAACGTTGTTATATGCAAATCCTGACCCGTGAGAAGGCAGTGTTGTGCTCCATTGCATGTTCTTAGTGTTTGGGCCTTACAGCCATGCCAGCCTATTCAGTAGGACAGATCTAACTTCTTACTTGAACTACACTGTCAACAAGTACTAGTAGCTGCTCAATCAAAGCATGAGTGATTCCACTAGTACACATACTTCTGCTTGTGCAGATATGTACACCATCAGTGCAGCTCAACACAGATATGTACACCATCAGTGCAGCTCAACACAGATATGTACACCATCAGTGCAGCTCAACACAGATATGTACACCATCAGTGCAGCTCAACACAGATATGTACACCATCAGTGCAGCTCAACACAGATATGTACACTGTCAGTGCAGCTCAACACAGATATGTACACCGTCAGTGCAGTTCACACACAGATATGTACACCGTCAGTGCAGCTCAACACAGATATGTACACCATCAGTGCAGCTCAACACAGATATGTACACCATCAGTGCAGCTCAACACAGATATGTTGCGAGTATGATTTACGCACGTTGTTGTATTCGGTTCTTGTCTCGCAGAGTCCAATGTCTGATGTCAAATTTGGTCTAAGTGTGTGTGTGTGTGTGTGTGTGTGTGTGTGTGTGTGTGTGTGTGTGTGTGTGTGTGTGTGTGTGTGTGTGTGTGTGAGTATGATGTGATGTGTGACGCTTATGGTATGTGGTGATGCAAGAGTACGCGGTGTCAGAGTGTGAGAGTGACTGTCAAGTGAATGTCGTGCATGCGGAGTGCTAGTTTGGTCTGGGAATGAGAGTGATGTGTGATTTGTCCGTGGTCTGGTTGTTTTGGTCTTGGTCATGTGTTCTGTACGTATTGTTCCCTGATTGGTTGTCCGGATTTGTTTCCGCTTTATTACTGCTTGTTCTTGGTTGTTTTTTCGTGTCTTTTCCCGTTGTCTTTTTGTCGAGTCTTGTTTTCGCCTTTCTCCTCCTGCGCCCTTGTTGAGAAGTGAAGTTATTTGAAACCAACAGAACGGTGTGTTGTTGTTTGGCGGGGGCCAGGGGGAGAAGGCCATACCACAAACCTTTTTGGTTTCAGATTATGTACACGGCCGGTTCAGCTCAACACGTTACAGAAACATGACACAGGATAGTCACCTTGAGAAAGACTACGAATGGTGACACGGACATGGGCTGTGTGTCCACTAGAGAAGAAAGGACACTGAGTGCTGCGTCCACCTCGTGTGACTGACCGCCACCAACATGAGTAACGAGAGCACCGATGACTTCCTGAACACAACAAACCGAGATGAGCAGAGGGGAACAGGATACTGCACCTTCAATTTCATGGTTGAAAATGATTGTCTTACCTCAAAGGGCAGGGGGGGGGGGGGGGGATGTTCATTATATACAATCATACCGGGTCATACCCTCAAACTTGAAAATGGCACCTTTCAGTAGCTGCCTCTGTTCGATGTTCCCGCAGCACTAGTACACACACACACACACACACACACACACACACACACACACATACGCGCACGCACACACATACGTGCATACACACCCACGCGCACACACGCGCGCGCATACCCACAAACACGTACACATATGCGCGTGCGCGCGCACACACACACACACGTACACACACACGGATGCAATGGTGCTAAACTTGCCTGCTGGTGGAAGATAGCAAAGTTGAGGAATACTTGCTGGTACAATGTCTCAGCAAATGTGGCAACAGCATCATTCATGGACCGGAGAAGTGACTCAGCAATGGACACGATGGAGGAGAAATACTCTTGCAATGCCTGCAGAGCACAGTTTCAAATGTAACAAGTGGACATCAAGTGCAGCTGGGATTAACGAAATCCGAAACGAGATGCAGTGCTGCATGCTGTGTTTCAGAATCAAAACCTGTATAATGTAAAAAGGCAGCACGCAGCTCAGCCTGCCTTACAATGCTGTCTGGGTTTCATTGGTGACAAAAGCACCCACTGCACATAAGCCTTACACACATTGTAGAGAGGTACAAATTCCAGTAGGTGTGTACACACCCGGTTGAGTGTTCATTGTGTTCTACATGACTGATTGTGCTACATGTGCGCATTTTACCAGTTTAGTCCAATACTCAATCGCAGACAGTCGCTTTTCCAACTTCATCACTTTGGATAGAGCTAATGACCAGCTTTGTCCGAAAAAGGCTGTTGCTTGACATGCCGGCGGGGCACGTCTCGTAGTGGAAAATACAGATAATACATTAGGGTCCTGTACATTCAACACCCAACCAGGTCTATGGGATTCTACGGGATTTTGTACATGGCGGCAATGCGAATAAGGTTTATCAGTTGTCAGGATACTCTGTGCAACATTGACAAAGCTGCTGCACAAACACATTCTCACACACTGACTGACACTGTTCAATATTCCAAGTTTACCTGAGTATGGCTCTGAAATGTTTGCTCAATGAGGTCCGGCAGGAAGAGACCGTCGCGGCATTTGCTTCGAATCAGAGCCTCCACACCTTTATGTCTGCCCGGACACTGGTGCAGGATGAACATCAGCAGTAGGTCTAGAGGCTGAACAAGACGACAAGAGCAATGCCAACACAACATACAGCTTGCTGAGGAGTGTTGGCATATATTAAAATCTTTTTTCCACCATTGCTCTTACATGTACTTTGCCCATCACCAGTTCTGCATTATTTGTAGGTGGCATAACTAATAAAGCCTTTGTCTAATGTCAATTCAACTGATTCTGTTCACTGCAATTCTTACTTGTACAACATACAGTGTGCGTATTCAACACATGCTTATGCCATGCAGCCTGGAAGACTCAATGTATTCCCGCATGCCTTGCGAATGTGGTGAATGACCCGAACCGTAAGCGTACACCATAAGGTGAACACATGCTCCAGCTAGTCCGTACTTGCTCCTTGCAGAAGCATGCTCTGTGAGGTGTGCTCACTGCTCTCTTCCAAAACAACAGCAAGCATTAACAGTGCTGCTATATACTTTCACCCAGAATCGGATACCTTTTCCAGACGCCCAATAAATGGCCAATTTCAAGACTTTTTCTCAGAAATTTGAAGCTCCATTGTAGCCTTGAGATCTTTTCACTACACCTCCAACCCGCAACACACCAAGTCCTCGGCTACACCAAGTACCACGATTGTTTCCAATCTTTTACCCAGGAGGGCATCACCTGAAAAAAATTCAAGAGTCCTTACCTTGTGTTTGCCAACGGTCGGCATTTGTTCAATGACCTTCAGCCAGGCATCGCCGACACACTTCTGAAAGCGAACAGAAGCGTGCAAGGCCTGTGCAGCCAGCAATTCACCTTCATCAGAACCAGCACCACCAGCACCAGCAGCAGTGTGTGAAGCAGATCTATAGTCAAGACATATACAATCAGCCATCGAGCACAACTAGGTTGGTATCCACAAGCAATAAGAATATACAGGCGTGTGACTGGCAGGCAAAGAAGAACAATAACCCTCCATACAAAGCTCTAGTTTGTCTCCATGAAGACTAATATAATTCACTCATTTCAAACCAAACTTGTCTCGGCTCTTGTAAAGCCCCCCCCCCCCCAAAAAAAAGAAAGAAAAGACAACAGGTCTTTGGTATTTTTGAACGCTCCCATGAACGTGTGATGTGCGGTCCCCAGAAACATCCATGTAGGCCTATGAAGCAGCAGGCTGCCACAACAGACACGTGATGTACGTCATGCAGGTAGAGGCCGTGTCTTTAGGGTTAGATTCACAGTTACTCACATTGCCGGGGTGGACGTCAGCACAGGGACAGGGGTTGAAGAGGCAAGGTCTAGATTCTCACGGACGTCCGCTATGATCTGGGATACAAGAAAGTGTATGTGGACACAGACAGGCAGAGGGTTAAAAAAAGCAGAGGAATGAACAGAAGCACGAACAAGATCCATCATGCTCAGCACCCAGTACACATGCTTCCAGGGCACATGAAGGGCAGAGAGAGATGGAACGCAATCATCCTCTATGACAGTCCTTTCCCAGACTTCTGTACGTACTGCACCCAGCCAGTTCTCATGCTATTCCAAGGCAGCATCCCCTAACAGTTAGCTGCTGCGTGTACAGGGACAGTGGTCCATTCTCATCGAAAGCTGCAGTACGCTGTGACGACTAGTCGCAAGAAGGCAAGGAAGCCTGTTTCATCAAGACCGTTGAGTCTATTAGAGGCACCCATGCTTCAGAGAAGAGTTTGCCGCAAATGTAGGGGAAGAGTCAAACGTGGTATACTTGACTGTGACAAATGAGCCAGCAGATTCAGCACAACAGCCATCATGCACAAGAGTCACTACACCAGACCTATGAAATTGGCAAGTCAGCACAAAGTGGCTAGTTATTGTTGGTGATGGCAAAACGTATGACCGCCTGCCCAAACTCCAACTGGAGCATTGCCATGAGTTGACTTGGCTAGTTCCATACCCAGGAGACTGACACATGCTGAAGGCCATGCAGCCCGTTCTCATGAGCCTCTATTGGGATGCTGGGCTGAAACAGCTTGCTAGAGCGTTTGGTTCTAAGGGCCAAGCCATTACATCCCTTGAAAGCTGCACCAATTTCAGGAAGTGCCATGTCTGTTTTCTTCGCTGCATACCAGGTCCTTGCGGAAGCCCAGCACAAAGCCAATTCAGAGTTTGGAGAACAGACCCATGACAAAGACAATGTGTGGCAATACTGGAATGGGTTCCTGCAGCGCGACTGCCTAGCGTACATCTGTCTCTGAGCGGCCTATACGACCACGGAACTGGAGCCTTCGGGTTGCAGCTCCCAAGATGGCTGCCCCGCTATTTCATGCAATGGACAGAACGTTCTACTTAAGCCTGGTACCGCACCATCTAAGCCATTTGGCTAGCCTCCCGACGGCAGTTATGCATCAGCTAAGAAAAGGAGGTTTTGCAGCTACCCTGTCGCGATCATCATTCCAATCAGTTGCATTCGACTAAGCCCATGAGATGTGCATTAAGAGAGACATGAAGAAGGCAATAGTGCAGCCCGATCCAGATTCGTTTGAAAGACTTGTCCACGATCTACCACACCGGGCACGGCTCCTGCAGAACTTGCGAACTCAACTATTTGTACGCGTGGAAACAGGCGAGAAGCCAGCGACAAGTCCTCAGAGACCGTCTCATGTGAGACCTGTAGATGTCGTGCACGTTAATAATTGCAATGCCATGCAGAAACTGGTGAGCGACAGCAGCATGTTCACGAGGAACACAACTCGAGGCTATGCAATGTATTGTCTGGAGAAAAAGCAAGTGAGGAACAGAGAGCAGATATGGTGACTTTGTACAGCATTGGAGAAGAATCATACCAAGTGTACATCAACAGCCGGATTCTCCACCTGCCCAGTGCACCTCCTGCTAGGCACATGTGTTGATATTTCCCAGAGTGATACCAGTGTGTATGGTGGAATCTCTGTGCACGCAAAAGCTTACGAGATATAGAGTGGACACTAAAAGAATGAGTGACCGTTGACATGTTCACACAGATGAAACAAGTCGATCTGTGCTCTCGGTTTACATCGAGGACCTTGCCCCCCACGACACCCAGCGAAAAAGTGTTTCTGAAATAGTACAATTCTACGACGGCTGAAAAATTAATACTAGCACCGTATTTCCGTAGTATAAGCCGCACCCAGATTTATTGTCACAAAATACAGATAATCTATCCTACGTGTATATATCACCATTCATTCGACCATCATAGTACCGTCTAAACTTGATAAGATGTACCCACAAGGGAACACGGAAAAAGTACATCCTAGCCGAAGTTCAGTCGACTCCTGATAAAACGAACACCATTGTGCAGGAGAATTAGTTCTTTATAGCCAAAGTTTGTTATAACAGAAATGCACTCATACTACACAAGCAGCAAACCATGGCTGACCTGTGCCCGATGACAGTATGACCGCACTTGGGTTACATGCAGCCCTACACGATTTGGTTCGTTATAAACGAAAAAACTGTTCACTTTAGTATAAAGGGTCAATTTTGTATGGGCTCTTACAGGGACATGGACAATGGTTAGCTATATCACGAAATTCGCTATATGCGAGTTTGTTATAAGTGGAGTCGACTGTCATTTACTACACCCACGCTGCAATCAAGTGTGCCAATTTTTCGTCAACTGCAAAAAGTACGTACAGTGAAACCTGTCTATGACGACCGCTCAAGGGACCTTCAAAACGTGGTCTCTGTTACCAGGTGGTCTCCTTATCCAGGGTCATTTGACTGGAAATAGCATCCCTTGGTGCTGGTTGCAGTGGTCTTCCACGACAGGTGGTCGCCTTGACAGGTTTTCCTGTACTACACAATACTAACAATAGTATGCCTTACACCCTGTACGTGCCAAGCGGTTTTGACTGTACCATAAACTCTGCTGCAACCCCCCTCCCCCTGCAAGATGCACAGGCCTGTACGCACGGACCCTGTGCACTGTCACCGTTATGGTACATGATAAGCTTGAAGAAAGTGCATTTGACACCGTAGCGTGAGGAGTGCTTTGCTACGGTAAACTATGTCCACTTTTTAGCTTTCAAAATCTCTTCTGGCACTAGCTACACGTGCATAGTGCATCAGGAAATAGGAACATAATAAATAACTTTGGACTGTTATGCCGTGGATTGTCCAAATATTCCGTTGTCAGTCTGGTGCTAAATTGTGCACGTCTGACTGTTCATGATCTGGTTTAGTTGGTGGACACATAACTTGTGCCCCGCTGTTTTCCATGTTTTCACTGTAATATGTTACCATGGCTTAGTGGTAGAGCATCGGCGGCCATAAGTGAGGGTCCCTGGTGGTGACAGTCGAGCTTTTCCTCGGACTTTTCCCATTTGCACATTTCCCTCAAACCAATGAAGTCTTTAATATTTAAAAAGTATTTCTTGTCCCAACGAATACTCCGGAAAACACGGCATTACAAGATGCTCGACCACTGTGGAGTAAGACGGCTGACTGAAAAGAACTAGCCATAGCCGTAGCAGGACGAACATTTAGGCGGGTCACAATGATAGCGAAATGCCACAACAAGGAGCCTGTCCGGACGAAACAAACCATTGGGAACATGACCCGAAAGTTGACGCTAATGACTCGGAGTTGGAAAATAAAAAAGCTTTTTTTATAATAGACGACTTTTTTACACTAAATATTACCTAAACAACCAACAGACAAGTTTCAACAATCTCACCTTACCTCAACAGCATTGCTAGGCACGACGGAATGCAGCAGGAAACGCAACACAACAGCCAGCTGGCTGGATTGTGTAGACGGAAGAATTTTCATCACTGACGTACGGATCTGTCAATATTATAATGAATGGAAGAGAGAAAAAGAGAGAGAGAGAGAGAGAGAGAGAGAGAGAGAGAGAGAGACGATAGAGAAAGAGATATCTATATAACATTACTTGTCAGTTTGAGCACTCTGGCAAGGTACGTTCGGGCCTGATTGGAAATTTTTATTTCCATTGCTATCAGGTTCGGCCTCATTTCCTCTGTGCTGCGCTGACGAGTCCACAAAGGACGAAACAGTTCTGTCCGCAGATTAAGTATATATAACATTAATATTTGTTAATACAAGTGCCCGTGCACTATTGCTTTCTGAACACGATAAGGTGGTCTGCGAAAAGCCGTTGGGCCCAATGCATTCGGCAATGAACCATGCACAGTACGTTAGGCTACCAGCAACAAAACAAGCATGTGCTCAGAATCCTAGCAGTACACATCGACAAGCCCCACGCACATCATAACGTATCCACTTCCTGCATTACATACAATGTCAGACAGTAGCTGTCCTCACCTCGGAGAGCAGCTGGGAGGAGAGGCTAAGATTAGCTAGGGCATCCAGGATGCATACGGTCAACTGTGGATCTTCAAACAGCATTTCTCTACCAAGGGAAAGAACAAAGTTGAAAAAAATCAGTGACACATGGCAGTCACAGCACTGAGATCTTACATACTTGGCACTATCTATTTCAAAGCCGATGAGAGGGCCAGATTCGAAAAAAGAAAAGAAGAAAAAAAGTGCGTGCTTTCTTCCTAAGTCCAACCTAATAGTGCTCTCCAACCGTTACAAGCACACATGCGTGCTGATTCACAGACTAGGTCACAATCATTATAGTGGTCAAAGCTGTCTGATCGCCCAGTGCATGAAATTTAAGGTCGCCGCAGAAACAGCTTTGCCGCCGCCTGTATTCGAGTAAAATACTGTTATACTATAGTACACAAATACTCATTCCTACGATTACAACTAAATTACAATGATTGACTAATGATTGAACAATTGAACTACTAGTAACCATTCAAATGTTTAAAATGTTCACATTCAACCCACATAAAATGAACCTTGTGTTCCTCAAAATTGTCTCAAAAGAAGAACAAGTCTACGCACACAATTACAAAAAGTATGCTCAGCTATAGCACTAACTTCAAAGCCTTTGCAACATTTTCATGTTGGCTGTCTGTGATTATTTCTGGCAACGCCGCAACAATCTCTCGCTGTATGGCAATGTTGGTAACCGTAATCATTTCCAACAATTTCTCTGAGAGTGCCTTGAGAGAGGGATAGAGAGAGAGGCGAGAGAGAGAGAGAGGCGAGAGAGAGAGAGAGAGAGAGAGAGAGAGAGAGAGAGAGAGAGAGAGAGAGAGAGAGAGAGAGAGAGAGAGAGAGAGAGAGAGAGAGAGAGAGAGAGAGAGAGAGAGAGAGAGAGAGAGAGAGAGAGAGAGAGAGAGAGAGAGAGAGAGAGAGAGAGAGAGAGAGAGAGAGAAAGAGAGAAAGGCAGAAAAAGCATAATTGAGTCCAGAAGTATAGCCAGAACAAGAAATACATGTGCACACTTCACACATTGACAACAATAATATATTCCTGATTCGGGGTACCAAGGGAAAGGAAAGGTTGCGGAAAGTCCTCACCTCTGGATCTACGACTCGGTCCAGCCATCGTAGCTGTGTAATAATCACAGCAGGCATGTCCACCGTTTGTGTGCTACAGCCAACACACACACAAACAGAAACAGTTTACCCGGGAGAGCAAGAAAAATTAGAAGAAGTCTAGAAAAGCTACCGTAACCCCAAATAGACAATGAGCAGCCCGCTGGCCAGTGTCGGGCCCGTTGAAATGACCTCAGTAAAGTACTTCATAGGCCACATGATCACTATTACACAACAACCCTTCTGTCACGTGTACTGCGTTCACGTACACGTAATGAGTAGTAAGAACAGAACAGAGCAATGGCAAAAGACACCAGATGCCAGGAGCGTAAAGAACAGACTAAGTAAGGAAAGCCTGAAACGCCAGAAGGAGCCAAAACCCAATCCACACATGATGTCACATATGCATGCGTGGGGCACACATTGAACACACGTGTACGTGAACGCAGTACACGTGACACCTTCCAAGAACTGGATACTACTGTACAGTGCTTGATATCCCTAATTCATAATTGCAAAATTACCTAGCATCATCCTCTGCAAATTCTGGCAGCTTCTCCAGCATCATAGCAACCACAGCAGTCTAGAAATCGGAAATGAAAATTTGAACACACAAACAGGTGAACAATAGCCCAGAAAAAGACAAACTGAGGGGTGCACACACACATACACACACACACACACACACACACACACACACACACACACACACACAAACCAACACCCGTCTAAAAGCCGCACAACATGTAAACTGATCAAAATCTTTGAATGACTTGTACATTCACATTCTAACCTGAATGCTGTCCACAGACAGACACAGGCGTAGAAGACTGTCACAGCGTGTACCGGCAAGACTGCAGAGAACATCAACACACCACAAGCATCAATTCAGCACTCGATCACATTACACAGCACGGGATGCCAGCATGGTCCAGCATGATAGTGAGTGCACCACGCACATGTACCGGTATGCCGTGCATAGCAAAGAAGGAACATTTTTTTTAGGTATCATTCACACCACCCATATATACCTCCCCCCCCCCCCCCCACACACACACCCAAAAACAAAAACACACACGCACACCAGCACCCCGCCTGTTTTTACCTCTCGTCTTGATTCACCATTCCACAAACGGAACGTCGTTACTTTATTATTAGAAGACTGTATTATTACTCTTTCATTCTCATGCCAAACAGCTAACTCATACTAAAACAAGAATGACCAAAACTAGTGACCTGCACCACCGAAGCAGGAACCTAAAACTCTAAACACACCAAGGAAAACAAGCCCCTCTACCCTACGGATCACGGACTACAATCCCGATCCTAGCGTAGCGGCAAATGATACATACTAGTACAAGTAGATGACAAAAGCGGTGCAGGTGTTAGGTGACAGCTGCATACGAATGCATGAAAGGGGTCAGACAGTTCATGTATCATGTGTACCGGCAGTTGTAACTGGAGCCGACTGAATGTCAATACATCAATAGCAGTGTTAGTCATACATAAAGCCCAGACTACAGAAAGTGTAGCAGTGGATGCAAAGTAAGTTGCATACGACGGGTGTTGCTCGTCGCCAACGTCGCCTACGGGGGCAACATCCTCTCCCCAGTGACGATTTATCCGTCACTAACACAACGGACGTCTAGCACGCAGAGCTTGGCTACCGGCCGGCGGAACACACCAGTCTGGGTCTTGACATCTGCTACCCGCACCAGGCCGTCTCTGCCGGGATAGGTCGCCGTCACTATCCCCTTCGGCCATGTGTTCCTCACTGCGTTGTCGTCGGCGATGACCACCACATCACCTACTTCCACCTTCTTCTCTGTTCTTCCGTGCCATTTGGTTCGCCGGGCTAGCGTTGGCAAGTACAGTAAGATCGGGCGCCGAAGAACGCAGGGGCTCGAGCGCAGCCTAGGAAAGTTCTTAAATTTTTGATTCTAGCCAGACCGTTCTTATTCACACGCGCGCGGCGAGTCGAGTGACGTCATGACGTTTGTCATGTACATGTACATGTACATGTAGTGCAATGTAGTAAGTACTTCTAAACTAGTGGGTGTCGTAAATGGGAATGACTGTACATGTAGCAGTTACTGTTTACACGTGTACATGACATGTACTCACCTCCCATACATGTACAATATGTAGATCTACGTGTAAATTCGCAACTTGGAAATTCCAAATTTTAAAAGTGTTCTTAAATCTGATAATTCTAGCCTGGACTGTTCTTAAATTTTGCCGGTTTTCCAGCCTGGGTGTTCTTCGGCGAGGTGTTCTTCGGCGCCCGATCTTACTGTATTCCTTAATCCAGCGGCGCCAGAAATGGTCTGCTAACACTTGCACGATGCGCCACTGCCGGCGCAGATGTAGGTCATCACCACTGAATACTCCGGGCACTGGTGCTGCTGATGGCGTCCCTAGGAGAAAGTGGTTCGGCGTCAGGCTGTTGTCGTCAGTTGGGTCAGAGGACACATGTGTGAGCGGGCGGCTGTTGAGTATCGCCTCAACCTCTGTAAGAAGCGTGATGAGTGTATCCTCACGCGGAGCACGTTCCTTGAGCACGGCTCTCAAGGCGGTTTTCACGGACCTCACTAGTCGCTCCCACGCTCCCCCCATGTGCGGAGCTGCCGGAGGATTGAACTCCCACTTGATTCCTCTCGGTGTGAGCTCAGCTGTGAGGCGTGTCTGGTCCAGCTGGTCCAACGATTCCTTGAGTTCTCTTGCTGCACCTCGTAGGTTGGTGCCGTTGTCCGAGTAGATGACTCCAGGGCATCCTCTGCGACTGATCAACCTACGAATTGCCATGATGGTACAGTCTGTTGTCAAGTCGTGTGACAGCTCCAGGTGTACAGCTCGGGTCGTAAGGCAGGTGAATATCACGCCGTACCGCTTCTCGTGACGTCGTCCGATAGTGACTGTCAGTGGCCCGAAATAGTCCATGCCGCAATGTGTGAACGGGCGGATGAACGTGGCAACGCGTGCGTCGGGAATCTGTCCCATCTGAGGTGGTGTTGGCTGCGCGCGTTCATTTTTACACTGCTGGCATACGGTCCAGGTACGGCGGACGGCTGTGCGTAGTTTCAAGACCCAATACGTCTGGCGGACGTCGTTTGCCACACTGTCCTGACCATGGTGTCCATGCCAGACATGGTACTGCTGAAGGAGCATCTGTGTGAATGGGTGCGACGGGTCCAGGATGACGGGCTCGGGCGTCAGTGGACTTCCGGGTGGTGCACTTCGAATTCGGCCATGCATTCTCACCACACCGTCGCTATCTAGCACAGGTGAGAGGTCTCGAAGTTTGCTGCTGCTGCTCACATTGCTGTGCTTCTGCAGGTCGCCAATTTCCTCCCGGAAGCTGTCTTGCTGTGCTTTCTTCCACCACAGCTTCTGGGCCTGCTGGTACTCCGATGGCAGCAACTCAGAGCAAGTGACTGTGGGCTTGCTTGACGCTTTCGCACGCAGGTTGTTGACGTATCTGACGATCCATGCTGTCGTTCTCATCAGCCGAATCCAGGATGAGAAGCGGCTGATATCTGGCAGGGCTAACTGCGCTTCTTTGGTGACTACCGCAGTAAACTCTGCCTTCATCTCGGCTTGGTCGTCGCTGGTGGTAGTGTCTTGCCCAGGATTCTCTACTGGCCACTCAGACTCTGGCTTGGTCAGAAACTCAGGGCCATTCGTCCAGATGTGCTGCGCTGCTGATATCTCGGATGGGGCTCTGGTTGCTGCATCTGCTGGGTTGCTGTGTGTCGGGACCCACCGCCATTGCGATACATCAGTGAGCTCCTCAATCTCTCCGATACGATGTGCTACGAATGGCTTGAATCGACGGGCGTCTGCTCGGATCCATCGTAGGCCAGTCATAGAGTCACTCCAGAGCACGATGCGGTCGATAGGTAGATCATGCTCTTTCCGGACGGTGTCGGCCATTCTGCTGGCCATCAGTGCAGCTTGCAGCTCCAGCCGCGGTATGGATACGGGTTTCAGTGGTGCAACACGGGATTTGCCAAACACGAATGCGACTCTGGTGCTGCCGTCAGGTAGCGATAGCCTGAAGTAGGCAGCTGCGGCGAATGCCGACTCACTGGCGTCTCCGAACACGTGAAGCTCCAGGTCCTTTCTGTCCACAATAGCCGTGCAGTAGCAACGCGGAATTGACCTGCTTCCGAGGTTGTGGACTCCCGTCCACCAGTCCGTCCATCTTTGGACGAGAGGTCCTGGTAGGGGCTCGTCCCATCCGACGCCTGTGCGCCAAATGTCTTGTAGCAGAATGCGAGCCGACGTGGTGTAGTAGGTGAAGAAACCAAGGGGGTCGAACACAGACATCAGCTTGCGTAGGACTTCACGTTTTGTCACTTCTGTTGTGTTGCTTTGCTCCAGTCTACGGCTCAGACTAAAGCCGAACGCGTCTTCCCGTGGCAACCACTTCAGACCGAGTGTCTTCTCCACTACAGTCTCGTTGTCGCTGCTAATAGTGACTACTGATGGTGAGCATATATCTGGGGGTACGGCAGCAAGAGCATCAGGTGAGTTGCTGACCCAGCCTCTGATGGAGAAGCCTCCGGCTTCCTGGATTTGACTCACTTCCTTGATCCGTTGGGCTGCTTCTTCTGCCGTCGGCGTCGAGTCGAAGTAGTCGTCCATGTAGTGCTTGTCATGGATTGCAGTAACTGCATCTGGCGCGCTGTGCCGGAATTCGTCTGCATTTCTTCGCATTACATACTGGGCTGATGCTGGCGAACATACAGCGCCGAATGTCATGGCTCTCATCTGGTAGACATCAGGTTCACGGTCTCTGTCACTGCCTCGCCAAAGGAACCGCTGTGCAGGCTGATCGTCAGGTCGGATGTGCACTTGGTGAAACATCTGTCGGATATCCCCTCCGAACCCCACGCGGTGTTGTCTGAACTTGAACAGCACACTGTTGAGAGGGTTGAGATAGTCGGGGCCCGGCAGCAGGGCATCGTTGAGGCTGACCCCGTGGCTTGGCGCAGCTGCATCAAATACTAGGCGCAGCTTGCCTGGCTTGTTGGGGTTTGTCACTCCAAAATGTGGCAGGTACCACACTCTCTGAGAAGGCATCTGGAGCTGTGAGGGTGTGAGCTTGGTGGCGTATCCGTCGTCAATATACTGTGCAATCTTGGCGCAGTACGCTTCAGAGAATGCAGGGTTCCTGTCCATCTTGCGTTCAATGGACAGGAGGCGGCGCGTTGCTGACGTTTTACTCTCCGGTAGGCTTACGTCAGCGTCTCGCCACAGCAAGCCGGTCTCCCATCGTTCCCCGATACGTCTCGTGGTGGATTCCAGGATCTTTTCCGCCTTCGCTTCCTGTCGCGAGCGTATTTTCTCGCTGCGGACTTGTACACCGAACGATTCTGTGGTGAAGTAGTGCTTCACCTGTTGGTGGAGACCGATATCCGTGTCCTCGGCACTGCCTTCTTCCGCTGTGTCAAGTCGGGCATGCAGTACCTGATCAGCGCCACCGAGTTGGCCGTGTATCGACCACCCCAGCTTGCACCGGCTCAGTGTGGGTGCGTTGGGTGGGCCCTCGATCGTCTCCCTGGGCAAAATAACATGGCAGTTGTCTTGGCCAATCAGCAAGCGCGGCTTCTTTGTCGCGCTGAGAGGGATGTCTGCGCTGCTCACGTGTTGCCAACGCTGTCGCTGATGGTTGATGTCGACATGCTGGGCTGGTAGGTGCAGCTCACGCACAGTCCGGGCCGACAGCTGGAGGTCTCCGTCCTGACCGCTCACGGTGATTGTGACCTCCCTGGAGTCAGGATCTTGCTGGCACATATCGTTCGTCCATGCTAGCGTCAATGGCCTACATGGCCCTTCTGCGCCCACCTGCTTTGCGGTGTCTGAATCCAGCAGGGTGACCGTTGATGCTTCATCCAGTAGTGCGGCCGTGTTCACCACACCTTTCGGTCCGCGGATTGCTACCGGCACTGTCCTCAGAACGACTCTGCTTTGCTGCTGGGCGCTAGCTAGGTTCGTGCGTTCGACATCATCCTTCCTCTTTGGTGGGTGCAGCATCGGATGGTGAAGCCGGTCACAGCCATCCTTCTTACAGGGCGTACTGTCAGGGCACTCTCTAGTGCGGTGGCCCTGGCCAAGGCAGGTGAAGCATCGTCGTTCTGTCTTGACCCATCTCCAGCGTTCGTTGCTCGTCTTGCGTGCGAATTCTCGGCACTCAGCCACCTTGTGGCCTGCCCGTCCGCAGAAGTCGCACTTTCTCTCGCTGGCCACGAAGGCAGTCTGCCGCTGGCCGCTCTGTCGAGCAGTCGGTGGCGGCTTCATATTGCTGCCTGTTGACACACACTTTGCTGCCGTCGTGTCGAGTCTCCGAACACAACAGAGCGCATCTGCTCTCTTTGCGAGCCACTCTGCCAGTGTTTTCATCGTCACTGGATCTTTGCACTCTGCTACGTGCTCTCCCCATTGACGGGTCAAGCTGCTCGGTAGTTTCTGCACGATCTCCTGGCGGAGCTGCGGGTTAGCTAAGTGGCCTGTGCTCTTGAGGAGCTCCATGGTCGACACCAAGTTGCTAACCGAGTTCGCCAAGTCAATAAGCTGCTCGAAGTCGTCGTCTCGCAACTTAGGCATGGTCTTGACCTGGGCAATCATGGACTGGACCACATGGTCTGGCTGGCCGAACCGCATCTGGAGAGTGTGCATCACTCGATCAAAGTTGTCCGGTACGACGAGCATTGACTTCACACTGTCCAAAGCCTTTCCCTTCAAGGCTCTCTGCAGACGGGTCATATTCTCCTGGTTGGAGAAACCACACTCTGCAGTGGAGGCCGTAAACGTCCGGTTGAACATCGGCCATGCTGTCGGATCACCGTTGAAGGCCGGCAGGTCTTTTGTGGCTGATTGTCTAGCCATCATTCTCCGCAGGTCCTTGTCCGAGGTGTTCTGGTGGGCTGGAGTGGTCGCCCTTGGTGGCGTCAGCTTGTCCGACAATACCTGGGCCAGCTGTGACACTGCCGATGCAACAGCTGACTGTATGCTGTCACCTGATGTGGCCTGCGTCTGCAGGCTAGCAGGACCATCAGTGCTTGCTGGTCGTTTCGGGCGTCCATCGTCACGGCACCCTGCTCCCGCGCTCCTGGACGGAGGGAGATCGCATGTGAAGGTGTCGGCACCGGCCGCACCACGTGGCTCACTTTGCGCTTTGGTCTGCAGGTCGCACCTTTCCTGGTTGGAAGGTGCCATGTCCACCTGCATGACTGCTAGTTGAGCTCTGGTCTCCTCCAGCTCGTACTCTAGATTCTGCACTTGGTCCTCCAGGTCGCATGACGTGCTGGTGAGCTGGCTGATGCGATGGTCTCTGGCATCCAAGTCACGTTGGAGACGGTCGTTGCTTGCTTCGGCCTTGGCAAGATCTCCCTCCAGGGACTTGATCACCTGCACCTGGTCAGCATGCCTCGCGTCTTCCTGGAAGATCCGCTGCTTCAGGGTTGCAATCGTCTGTTGCTGTAGCTGGAGTTCGTCTTTCAGTCGTCTTTTTTCTTCAAGCTCCACAGTGAGCTTGTCGTCATAGGCTCGCTCAATGGAGCCAGTGTTCTGTCGGCATAACTTCAGCTGCCCCTCCAACTCCTGGATCCTTATCTCCGCAGCACACAGAGGCTGCACAAGGCTGGTGGCTGGAATTACTGCTGGAGTAGCCGCGTCATGTGGGTCACTGTCCGTGTACCCCTGGGCTGGCATGACACTTTGAGTCACTTCGACCTCCTCGTGCTGTGGGTGCTGTTCTGCGTCTTGAGCAGATACTGGTTCTTCACCGTCCCTCACGAAGTAGTGTGACTCCTGCATGTCCATTGCCCTCTCGCTGTGGCCGTAGTCGAGCACGGGTGCTGCTGTGCCTCCGTTGTCGACCTCCTCGTCGGCCTGAATCGCCGCCAGGTCCGCGGCGAGCTGGAGATTGGAGAGTCTCTTCTCGCTTTCCAGCCTACGGCTTCTCGCTTCCTCTTCAAGTGCAGCCACACGCTGCGCTGCCACCAGCTCCGCTTTCCGCTTCCTGGCTTCAGCAGCACTGCTCGAAGAGCGTCGAGAAACACTCGAGAATCGGCTAAGTGTCGAGGAGGAGATACTTTCGGTTTCCTCCGCGACGCTGCCTGCGACAACGTTACTGATATTGTCGCTCCTGCTGCAACAAGTCGGCTTCACTTTCCGGCCTTTGGTCTCACGTTGAGATCGCCTGACCTGTTCACTGTGCCGCTTGTCGACGTCCATTATCTTTCCGTCCGGCTGGTTCGAATCCGGCTCTCGAAGGACCAATGTTTTTACCTCTCGTCTTGATTCACCATTCCACAAACGGAACGTCGTTACTTTATTATTAGAAGACTGTATTATTACTCTTTCATTCTCATGCCAAACAGCTAACTCATACTAAAACAAGAATGACCAAAACTAGTGACCTGCACCACCGAAGCAGGAACCTAAAACTCTAAACACACCAAGGAAAACAAGCCCCTCTACCCTACGGATCACGGACTACAATCCCGATCCTAGCGTAGCGGCAAATGATACATACTAGTACAAGTAGATGACAAAAGCGGTGCAGGTGTTAGGTGACAGCTGCATACGAATGCATGAAAGGGGTCAGACAGTTCATGTATCATGTGTACCGGCAGTTGTAACTGGAGCCGACTGAATGTCAATACATCAATAGCAGTGTTAGTCATACATAAAGCCCAGACTACAGAAAGTGTAGCAGTGGATGCAAAGTAAGTTGCATACGACGGGTGTTGCTCGTCGCCAACGTCGCCTACGGGGGCAACACCGCCAGTGTACCGAATACACAAGCAACACGAGCAGGCAGGTACACTGTTTGGTCTTACTCTTGGCTCTCGGTTCCGCAATCATTGGACAGGGCTGTGAACATGACACTCTGCTGGAGCCTACACAAGACAAATGCACCACAAAGAACAATCAGCAATGCCATACAGTGTGTCATGTTCATACACAACAATCCACTGCAGGTACAACCTGGCGCGAAGATCGCCCGCTCTAAAAAGGCCATTCATGACTAGTCACGAAGGTGGTCACATAATACGTACTCTTGGTGGCCATTGATAACAGATCCAGTGGCGTTCAGCACAACAGTACCTCCAATGAATTGTCAAAAAAGACGTCAGCTCACATTCACAGCTCACATTCACAAGCACCAGTATACACTAAAGTTACTATGGTAAACAGTGGCTACCATACCTACAGTCCTGTCGGGCGCCGAAGAAAGGAGTGCCGAAGAACGACCAGGCTAGAATTTCACCAAGCACAGCATACCAATGTATACACGGCGACTCAACTGTGCATAGACTGTAATACATGAGAATAAGAACGGTCTAGTCCACAAGGCTGACCCCCCCCCCCCCCCCCCCCCAGTTCTTCGGCGACCGACAGTACTGTAGTCTAGCACATAGTGGCCAGCAATAATGACCTTTCACTGTCCTCGATGTGCTCGTGCAGGCCTTCCAAGAAACACTCCCTCAACTCCTGCACAGGGAGGGCACGGAAAATGCAGCGTAGAAGCCAAACAGACACAAAACTTAAGCTTGTGTGCGCCAACGGCTGCTCAGTGGTTATAGCTCAAGCACCGCACGCTGCCACTACAAGTTCAGTGGTGCTCAAAGAAATTCACTTTCAGGAATACTAGTCAGCCGGCACACAGCCCAGTGTTCGTAAGTCTGGAGTTACACAGCGCCAGGCGCTACTTGACTGATGACACTTGGATTTCAATATTACCGGTAAGCAGCTACTGTAAGTCAACAAATATTCAGCGCATATTTATTTTCGGCTATTCTCGGCCTGGTCATGTTTGGGCGAAAATTTGTTGCGGCCGAAATTTTGTTTTGCAAGGTTCAGTGTGACAGTGTGTACAGGCAGCAGCAGTTACAGGCCGAAAGTTTGATGCGGCTGAAATGGGTTTTAGCCCTGGGAGGCCGAAATTTGAATGGGCCGAAAAATTTGTAGACTTACAGTATGTACTAATGGGACGGAAACTGTGCAAATGGCACTGCAGTGTGTATGATTATAATCTATGTAGTCCTCGTCTTACTTCATTGCTATCCGACAAAGATGCAGTCAGTCGCCGAAGGAATATTGCCTGCTCCAGATCTGAAACAAAACGATGAATAAACAAGAGACGGCGATAACAATGTCGCATTAACAGTTAGTAGGCTACTTCACTGTCATGCTTTTCTGTCGGTGGCTGCTTTGGCTTGTTAAAACACGCACAATGATGTCTACTGCATGTCTCAGTTTAGCTGCCATAAGGTGCAATCAGCAAACAACCTATTCCTAGCTTCAACCTGCAGTTGCATGAATGGTAAAGCATTTTACACAGTATAGGGCTTTTGGTTGGTTTACCCCAAGGTTCACTATCACTACAATCATGCACTTTTCCAGCGCCGAGCCCGGTGTGGTGTATGTCAAAGAAAATGCCCATGCTGCTGAGCAGAGGTTTGCCTTGTTGAAGGTGCCTGCAGAGAAATGACTTAGTGCCGGCATGCCAAAAGTTCTCAATCCCAGGCTCGAGAAAAAAGAAAGAAAAAAAAGGCAGCAGGATCTGCTTGCTCAACTCATGAGCACCAATACATCTGACATACTAACAAGATGAACTTTGCCCTTGGCCTACTTCTTGTCTTCTTTTTTAAAGAGTGATACTAAGCTCTCGCTGACCGGAATGATACGGCCGCCCGTATATAGTGCTCATGCTGTGCTGTTACGGTAGAGTCGCGCGCCCAAGAACGTTGTTTCCGAGGGGTTAGCCTGGGACGTTCTTATTTCTTCAGCAATCTGGCTGCGTTTTTATAGCACGTTCTTAGAAACACTGCGTACTGGATCATAATGTATCCCACAAGCTGCCAGAAAACCAACACCGCCGTTCTTAGCTTCAGGCTGGGGCGTTCTTAGTATTTCAGGCTGGGGTGTTCTTAGTATTTCAGGCTGGACGTTATTGGGCTCCACGTTCTTCAGCGCGCGACTCTATTGTAGACCATTCACGCGACGTGTAAACTCAACTTTATCGTACTGTTTCCAAGGATACTTTGTTCTCTGCATCTCGAACTGCAGCCACGAGGCACCCATTCACTTTGTACAGGCGAGCTGTGACTGCATTTTTCGCTTTTCAGCGACCGGAACTGAACTCCCTACTCCAAGTTCAATACTAGTATCTGAGTTTTGTTTGTGTTTGCTCATATACATAATTATGCTGAAGGAAATACCACCCTGGCCCATGAGGTTGGCAGAATTTTTGGCTATTAAACATGATCAAATCTCACCCCTTCCGTGCACCTACTTGTACATTGTACTTTTTTGGAATAAAAATTGAATGGGTGAATTGAGATTTCGAACATTTCAAAAGTGGCAAGAATATGTTGGCATGGTACATGACTGATTGTATGGATGTTTCATCTATAAAAAGAGAGAAATTGGAATGAGAATTGATGAATTTGGGGATCGCACACATGCTGCATCAAGTAGTCTTACCAAGTTCGTAAGAACACCCATTGGACATGTGAAGACCAAGTCTCCGAAGTGTGCGTCTGAAAACATTCTCATCGGACGTGCTTTGCTTGGCGCGTTTTGGTGATGAGTTACCGGCTGCAATCAAAATGAAACGGAAAGTATAATGGCGTTAGCCGTCATTCTACAAAATGGGGAAAAAGGATGAACTAAAAATGCTTTGGTACCTGCATGATCAGATCGTCGTTTCGTTCCGACCATCATCATTATTCTTTGCGTGGTAGTTTGTTCGAACCTTCTACTTTCTAGTAAGTACTAGTAGTTAGCTCTACGAGCACACGCACTCCCTGGGCTGGGGTAAACAAGGTAAAGCTACGCCATGATTTCTCAACTCAGCCGGCCGTCCTCCCAATACAATTATTATTGCAATCCCATGCATGGCATATCTAATCATTCTTCATATCACTCAGACTCGGTATTTGTTCAAGTCAAAACAATCTCAACACTACAGGAACACGTCTCCACATGTATGTTTTGTTTTTGAAACATGTGTTGGGCTTGGAGATTCCCGCCGTTTCGAGCGGTCCAATCACGTCGCTTCCAGCATCGTCATCTTTTAACAGACCCATGTGCATGATTCGGATCCGGATTGACAGATCCAACAAGAAGAAAAGAACTACAAAATAATTGATTCAAATCAGAAATTGGATAAAGAATTGGGTGGTCTGTGAAAGGAGATGGAGCTGCCTGAACCGGTGACGGTGTTGGATTATGGAGCAGGGAATATTCGTAGTCTCCTGAATGCTCTCAAGAAACATGGAGTGGAACCGCGTTTCGTGAAGAGCGCTGCTGACATAGCTCAGGCGTCGAAATTGATCTTCCCAGGTGTCGGTGCATTTGGACAGTCGATGAATGCCCTGGAGAAGATGGGATATACGGAAGCCCTTCGTGCATATTTGAAGAGTAACAGGCCCTTTCTTGGCATATGCCTAGGTCTGCAAACATTGTACGAGGGTAGTGAAGAATCACCTGGTGTGGCTGGTCTGGGTGCGTTCTCAGGTGTTGTTCGAGATTTGAATAACGTCAAAGTCGATGAACCTCTGACTGTGCCGCACATGGGCTGGAACGAGATCCGGAGACAAAGAGCAAGTAAGCTGTTCGCGGCCGGTGATCAAACGGAGAGTACATCTGGCCGGTATTACTTCACACACTCGTTCGCTATCCCTGCCGCCGAGGCTGATGCAACTGATGTTCTAGCCACCACGGATCATGGTGTTCCGTTTGTCAGTGTTGTGCAAAGGGGCAACATTGTTGCGACGCAGTTTCACCCTGAGAAGAGTGGCGAGGCAGGGCTAGATCTCATTCGGCGATTCCTGCAGGACTTCCCGTATCCGGAGCCAAGCAGTCCCGTGCCATTCCAATGTTTAGTTCAAGGACCGACCGTGCTGGCACGACGAGTCATTGCTTGCTTGGATGTACGGTCGAATGATGCCGGTGACCTGGTAGTGACTAAGGGTGAGCAGTACGACGTGCGTGAGAGAGCAACGGAAGAGAACGGTGCAACCAAGCGTGGCGAGGTACGCAATCTTGGCAAGCCAGTGGACCTGGCACGCAGGTACTTTCAGGAAGGTGCAGACGAAGTGGTGTTCCTGAACATCACCTCGTTCCGTGACTCTCCTCTCCATGACCAGCCCATGCTGGATGTTCTGCGCCGCACCTCTGAGCACGTCTTTGTTCCTCTATGTGTTGGTGGCGGCATTCGTGACATAACCGTCCCAGCTGCAGCAAGTTCTACTGACGGTGGGGCCGCAGGTGACTCCATCACGTACCCTGCAGTGGAAGTGGCGGGTGAATACTTCCGCTCCGGTGCTGACAAGGTGTCGATTGGCAGCGATGCTGTGCGTGCTGCCGTAGAGTATATGCAGTCTGGCGCCAAGACGGGCAAGACAGCTATTGAGACCATTGCCGAGGTGTACGGCAGCCAAGCAGTGGTGATCTCAGTGGATCCGAAGCGTGCGTATGCACAGTCACCGGCAGATGTTCCGGGCAAGCAGCACTGCATTGAGACAAAGTACCCGGGACCGGACGGTGAGATGTACTGCTGGTATCAATGTACCACTGCTGGCGGTCGTGTAACCACCGACGTGGGTGCTTGGGAGATGGTGCGTGCTTGTGAGGCGCTCGGTGCTGGTGAGATCATGCTCAACTGCATTAACAGGGATGGTACCAATGCGGGTTATGACTTAGAGCTCATTGCTGACATCAAGTCTGCAGTTCGCATTCCTGTGATCGCGTCCAGTGGCGCTGGCTGCCCGGAGCATTTCTCAGAGGTCTTTGCTGCAACCGGCTGTGATGCAGCTCTTGCCGCTGGGATCTTCCATCGAAAGGAGGTGCCCATCGGTGCCGTGAAGGAACACCTGAACGTCAAGGAGGTCACTGTCCGCTACAATCCGTGAGTGCGTGCGTGTGGGCATACTGTTTATACTATTTATATGCTTTTCCAGTGGACCGTTGGTGTTATTTATGCAGCCCGTGACACAACCAGATAATGTTGAAATGTTCTTGCGCTCACTATTTAGTATCCAGGGCTCCAGCGCTCCATGAAAGCAGAAACGTAGTTCTGCTGCTTCATGCATTTACCATGAAACACACACAAAACACACCCGATAGGCAATAGTCTCCCATCAAAACTGAAGCAATTTAGTCTGTCACAAAACTCACAGAAGATTTAATAGACACAGTCTCCATTTCTAGCATTCTCTATTTTTTTCTATTTTCTCGCTGCTCTCGCTAATGCTTTTGCGCAATAAATGTATGAAATCGAGACTGTTCGACTCTATTGGGCACTTCCGACTAGCCGATTGTCCTCATAGTTCAAAGTCAAACCCGTATCAAATAGAAACCGACTTGCCCGTAGAGAGCAGTTGTATCATGTAACTTGACAAATAAATGGACGAAAGTGAAGACCTGTACGAATGTGTTCAGCAAAGTATCTATTCCTGGCATGTCCTATTGCTAAATCGAAATTATTGCATGAGAGAGAGGGATGTTACAAGATGTTACAGGATGTACGGGATGCTCAAGTCAAGACAGAGAGTGCCTTGAATAAAGGGGTGAGATGTCTTGAATAAACAATTACCGGTAACTTCAGCATAAGAAAACCCGGAAAAATGAGTAAAAAATAGATAACAACTCCGGTCAAAGAGGACGAACGTGATTTGTTGTTGCTAATTGTCGCTGGCATTATATTAGTGATAGATTGTATAAGGGAAAATAGTTGATGATATGCTGCAACCAATGGGAAAAGAAGCATGTCTGTTGTCTTTATTGCGGTGGTTTCTAATGTCTAGAATGAGTAATCGGAATGGAAAGATGTGAGATCAGGTCCTCTATAGTGAGTGTCAGTTTTAAATGTGTGCGTGTGTGCACGTGTGTGTACGTGTTTATCACTAGGCAAGGTTGTGCACTCTGCAAAGTTCTATCGTGTCCTGTTTGTAAAGAGAGGTCTGGCTAGCTGGGGCCGTGCGCTTAAATTTACACTGTGGCCATTGTGTTGTGCGATTCGATCAACTCGTAATCTCAAGGTGCGTGCGTGTACGGCAACATTAGAAAATGCGGTGTACGTGTTGAAATATATGTATAGTTGACAAGTAAGTTGACAATCTTTCAGACGCAATCAGCTAGCTATGCACTGTAACTGTTGTCACGGCAATCCTGTCATCGTGTTGGAGTACAGCCGGTGATTCCTTGCGGTGAGGCTTGCAGCAACACGAGAGCTCTGGGAAGGCAGTTACAAGCATGTCCTCAACCAGCCAGTGCGTGTTGGTCTTTGGCACTCCCACACTGCTGCTGGTGGCCATCTGTAGTGGCTTATCTATGCTTGACGTTGTGGGCAACAAAGTTGCAGCGCACCGTCCAGGAAAGCTCCAGACACCGGACCACCTGAGCAAGATACACAATTGTAGAGAAGTTGGAGTATTATACACTGGTATGTACCAAACAGACCACAGCTGTTCTCCACTACATGTCTTTATACAACATCATGCCGTCGAGAACACATGTACTTCAAGCAGGCACGTGGAGAGCCGGGATAATCTCCATCAGAACCCGATCACGTCACTTGGAATAGGTGTATAACTAAAGCTGGCAGAATAAAACCACTTCAACGACCTGTCCTGTCCATGCCTCATTGCAGAGGGGAGTACCATCAACTAACCTGCTTGGTGAAGTGCTGCTCTGCCTCCTCGTCAGTCTTGTCCAAGAGTAGCACATTGCGCAGGTAGTCAATGTCCTCGATGCAGGTCAACTCTGGTATACCGGTACACTTCATCTGCCCAGAGACACACACAACAAGAATACAATTTACCCGGATGAACAGAGAGTGATGATTTAAATCAATATACCCGCATGTCTGCGCCTTCAAAGCCATGTCCTTACTAGTATATTCGAAACACAGCTGCTTTCCTATAGCAATTTTATACGCGAAAGACCCAATTGCTACGCCGTGGCATAAACGTCCGCACGGAAATTTCAATCTAAATCCCCCTTTTGCCCTTTCAGCTGGGCTGGGCATTCTGTTAGTATAGTACTTGTTGCTTCAGTTTACAAAACATGCACCGCACTGGCTTTAAAGATGCCGGCATACCGTATAGAGTATCTTCTCCATATAGGTGATGATAAGAGTGACATGGCAGGCTAGTTTGGGAAGAGCATACATTTGGAACCCCTTGTGAACTTGGTGCTGCGTGTTCAACAGCTATACATGTACATGTTCATACAAACTCACCATGGAGAATAGGTTGATGAACAGGTGAGCATGCTTGCGAATGATGTTGTACGCCTTGCAGGCATCTTCAAGGAAGTGGCGGAAATTGGCGCTGTCCTGTGAACACACAAGAGAGAGCAAATATGGAACGAATGCATTAGATTTCAAGCTAGCTGCAACAAGTACCGGTATTACCCTTCTAAGTTCTAATCATCACTTTGTGAGTGCTAGTCTGCAGTGTGTATGATAACAGGGTACTTTCTGAGCAGAGTTGTGGACACAACATGTGCTTCTAGGCAATCTCTGTTACTGCAGTGCACGAGCCCGCCACCAAGTGTGCCTCGCCAATTCGTCAAGCACTTCATCGCCGCCGTGCACTGCAGTGTATTGACGCTGGCAAGTGAAGATACCCCTGGAGATGACCGCCGAAATCCACACTGCTCAACTCACTAACCTTCTTTCCCATGATGTGTACGAAGTCTGGTGTCAACACGAATGGCGCTCGCTCACGGTTCACCAGTCCTTTCTGAATAGGAAGAACACACCGGAGGACATGGAAGCAACACGCTAAGCACACAGGCCGGTATTCGGACACAGCAAAAGATGTGTGCAAGCAATTGAACTACCGTATTTATGCCGGTGCATACAGCAGCAGTTTAACCCACCCAATGATGAGCACCAGTGCCAGACTACAAGCAAAGAGCACCAGGCCACGGCAACAGGTGCTGCCTTCCACTATCATACTCAAGAAGTCAAGAACACGAACAAGTACATGAGTGTACATGTACCGGTACTGCCCGTAGACAGTTGAGGGAGAACTCACCAGGAACTTCTTGGTATTCCCCAGGAAGTGGCCAAAGTCGATATGGAACAGGTTGCCCGACTTGGTGATCATGATGTTGTCGTTGTGTCGGTCTCCAATGCCCTGGTAGGGAATACAAATATGAAGCACAGGCGTTAGTCGGAATCATCAATGGGATTGTCGTTAATGATCACAATCGCCTTCACCCTTAAGTTAATCCAACCATTCCAAAGTCAGGTAAATGTACTTCCCAATATGTCGCGGTCATCCCTTGTGTACAATGCAGCATGACCCACGCTCACAATAAGGGCACACTCGGACACATTTCACGTATGCAATCGCCGTGATCAAGCCACGCAAACTCACACATGTACACACACACGCACACACTCACACACACACACACACACACGCGCGCGCGCGCGCACACGCACACACCCACACTGACGAGCTACTTGGGTACAGCATACGTGTTGCACACTTACCAGTACATACGTGGCAACACAGTAACCCGCACAGGATGCTGCAAACCGCCGGACTGCCTGGACGTGTTCAGCATGACTGCATACAATACAACACAGGTATACCACCATGAAAAACAAGTCAGTTGCATTGTTAGCACCAGTGGAGCCAGAGAAATGAGAACTCATGGAAGGCAGCATAGATGTGTACTGCATCCAGGACAAACCCCAGACTTCCTGGGGCTAGTCTACTTTGACAATGCAGTGGAGTGGGCTGCTGTTTACTGCATCACAGCATGCAGAACGCCACTGGTTGAGGTTCAGAGGAAACACTCTATGATCAAATTGGCAATGGAGAGGATCCTACCTGGACTGCTTCTCCTTGAGCCAGTTTGACAGCGTCTCGTCAGCAAATGATGCCCTGGCATTAGAGATGATGTCACCACCGCGCTTTCTCTGAATCTGAATAGCGAAACAGAATTTAATATCAAGACAGGAAGTAAAGCCCATGGCAAGCAGTGACAGTACGGTAAGCTGCACATCACCTACTACGACAATACGTGTAATAGTGCAAGGCATGCCCAGGCAGCGTATATTGAATAGTGCAAGGCATGCCCAGGCAGCGTATATTGAATAGTGCAAGGCATGCCCGGGCAGCGTATATTGAAGCACTATCCCGATGGCTGCATGGTCCAGTAGCAGCATGTGACTGTGTATGTGCTCAGCAATGGCTTCCAGAGATGATCACTGTGGGTGTGTATACTCACACTGGCTACTGTCTCTGCCTCCAGCACCACTTCAATCATGCCAACCTCATTGCCAGTTGACATGCAACCATACGGTAACATCATCAAGTCCAGTCCGTTGTCTTGCCACAACTGCAGCATCACAGCACAAACCCAAAGCAGCCACGTACAAGAAAGATGTTGGTGACAGGACAAAACATCAGCAAGACCTGGTTGGATTTGGAACATGGCAGTAGCTAAGAAACTCAAGGTAGTCATGAGACAAGACAAACTTAGAAAGCCTCGATTCAGAGCACCGAGTCGACACGGTACACACATGCACTGACCTTGTCCATCAGCTTGATCATCTGCAGTGTAAGCATGTCCTGCCTGAGGTCATCACCCTGCTTGAAGATCACCTTGACTGGTGCTGGTATGACTGTGGTCGGATCCTTGTTGGCAAACTCCAGCCACAACGGCACCTGTACATACACAAGCATGATGACAAGAATTATGTGACCAACACGATATGCCTACAGCGCACCTTTTCAGCATACGCGTCAAGCCAAATCTTATACTCGTACATGATGTGCTGGGTGTGGGAGTGTAACAGGCGATGCTTTTTTTGGACAAGAAACTCTTTTTGGCCAGTCTTCGCTTCTCCCATTGCCACTAGCAGGCTCTTGCTTGTACATGTACGTGCACGTACAAAAAAAACTATGGTTGCTTGGGAAACCCTGAAATGTTCACCCATATTACCGGTAAGAACTGCTAGGAGCTATCTTGAATTCTCATACTGTACTGTGTCAGAATGATTAGAGCTTAGCCAGTCACCACCTCGCTATAGAACACAGCGAGTGAGGACGAACAGACCCAGAAACGAATCGTGGCCGTACCTTCTTGGAGTCCATGCACTTGCATTTCTTGACAACGAGGTCACCAATGGTCACACTGTAGGAAAGAGAGAGCACGTTCACCCGAGAAGACGGTCTCACAGATGAGCCACTGCTTTGTGATACGGAACAATCTGCCACCCATGCAAGTGCCTCATCGATTATAATGGGACTGATACGCATACAAGACGAGTAAGAATACTGCGGCAATGTGCAGGTGAAAACCGTTAGGCAACGTGGCCATGATATTGGATCGATTCAAGACAACATTGTGACATGGATGGAAACTAGAAACTGTATTCGTCACTCACTTCTAAATGCAATGCTTGGAGTCACACACTAGCACAGCTCTCCACTGTTAGAAGAGGCTATGCTTTGAAGCAGAACTCATCCACACCGCAAGGAGAGAGGAGCGATGAGCGGCACTGTCGGATTCCGATTTTCACGCTTGTCGGGCAACTTACCTGGAGTCATACACAGGTCTCAGTTCGCCCTTCATGACATCCGACGACTCAATGAGTTTTTGCAATGCACCGGCGCGAGCTTCGAGCTTCTCATCCTTAACCTGCACATGTCAACAAAGGATACGAGTATTCAACTCACAACGTGCAGCATTACCAGATGAATGCTCCATGCCTAGACGGACTGCTGCAGAATGTGGTATGACAATGATCAAAGGGACCACACGCTGGAAACTTCACACGGGACATTGGCTTACCTGCGCAGCGGCCATCTTGAGGAACTGGTTGACTTCCTGCTGGCGATGGATCATCCCCTACAGCATCACAACACGAATACGGTGTAGGGCATATATTTGATTCAGGCACGGTATGCACAAATGACTACAACAGAACAAAAATGTGCGTTTCTTTCTTCCTTCCAGCATAGAAACGGTGTAGTCTAGTCCAGTGACGGGGAGTTGTCCATATCAAACTCCATGGTAAATAACGGTCTTGTCAGACCATTTCCCAGGCCAGTGTACCCCTTCATGCTTCATCTTCTTAGCACATCATTCACTCCTTACCAGCATCTGCTTGCCACAGCCTCTCAAGTAGGCCTCCAGAAGCAGGCCGAATCGCTCACGATACTCCGGAGCATCCATTTCTGCACGCAGGAACCTGTACTCAAGAAACAGAGAGATATTCCGGAAAGAGGCGGATACCCGTTCAGATAATGCAGCACATGCTGACGCTTGCATACAGTTCCTGGGCTTGCATTGCTGCCAAAGCACCAGGTACACACTTCATGTTCACTGCATACTGACCATGCACTGCCTGATGCACTGGCCGTGCACTGCCTGATGTATTGACCATGTCCAAGTAACAGTAAACACTTTCTACACTACCTATGAGTATCCACACTTACCAGTAGAAGTTGTGGCCAATGCGCTTGCTCTGCAGGGCTCGTTCCAGCAGGAAATACGCCAGTGCACTGTCATGGTATGGCTCAAACTTCAACGTCTGCCAAGAAATATACACACGTGACAGGCATGCACCAGTGCAGGAAACCGATTATAACAACTAGTCACAACAGCTGGTATAAGTCATGTTATTGTATGTTCTCAGGTGAACTACGCAAGTCAGCACTGCAATAGGACTGCTAGTTTTAACAAAGGTCAGGTATCAATGCATCACTCAATCTGCGGACAGAACTGTTCCATGCTTTGTGGACTCATCAGCGCAGCAATGAAAAATAAATAAATTTTCCAAAGCCAATGCATCATCCGATTATCTTCTTCACGCAGTGCAGTGCAGCATTCACTGTACCTGTACAAGCTGCAGCAGGAATGTCAGTAGCTCATCCTTCTCCAGTTTCTCCAGACGCGACACGGCAAGACAGCGCACAGACTCGTCGGCAAAATGGTAATCAAGCAGCTGCAGTGCAACCTGTATCCACAACAGAACAAGAACACACACACACACAATTGTAGATAGCAAGCAGTTCTGACTACATCATACATGTACGTGTACCTGAACAGTGCAACACTCATGATCATCCATCCATCATTCATCCACGAACTGACAAAACAGGCAAGCTAAGATAAGGGCAATACCGGTAAGGCGCTGCATAATACATAATAATAATCCGTTTGGCCCAATTTGCTTGTTTTCACTGCAATATCAGTTACTGTAGGCTGCATATTCTGCAGTACTGGAGTGTCCGCCGAGCACTGATGCTTGCCAACCATATAAGTAGGGAGCAGGAACTTTGGATATGGTAGCAATGTACAAGTGCAGTCTCCACTATACATGTCAGTGCCAGTGGTACATTGTGTGCATGTGAATTCATCTATGCGTGTCTTCAAGGCACTGTTGCACTACAGGTACGTAGCTGTGTACATGTATGTTGGGTCTAGTAGTAGCAGTGCAAACACGCTTGTTGACACTTCACTTTACCTCGATGGTCGGCTTTTCCCAGCTTCGCAGTAACCTGTGCATCTCCAGGACATGACCTTTGTCGGCCCAGTTGAGGGACAGCAGGAATCTTGGCAAAGCCTGTCAAAAAGCGAAAAGGCAACCAAACACAAGGACATGGGAGCAGGAAGAAAAGGAAAAGAAGCTTCTAGTATTCTTCTGTACTGTACTCAGTGTCTTGTGCTTCGACAGGCATGACCAAGAGCATTGTTCGTTTGCATAGAATTAAACCAGCGAAAGATATCACTCCATATACCGGTACGTCGGGTTCAGTTGGCATGACTTATTGCATCTTGCACCTACCTCTGGGCGCTTCTTGCAAATATCCCGGCAGTTCCACAACAGGTCCTTGTCTTCCTTCGTCAGCTGCAACGTAACGCATATACACAAGCATACCGGTGCATAGAGCAATGGTCAATTGGAGCGCGCGACACTATGCCTACATCCAGCATAACCACGACTGAGTAAGTAAGTCGGAGTATCCTCGCCAAACTCCCGAAAGCCTAAACAAATTGTCTCCTTTACACTAACTCCAACATGACATTGTTGCGCCTATGGCAATACCGGTACATGTAGTCACAAACAAGTTACTATTCAGGACTGTCTACATCAACAGCACGGAACATACCGGTTTGAGGGGGTCGGAGCAGCTAATGGCATCATCCAAGCTCTGCCTGAGGAACTTCTTGCTTGGACTCCTCACTTCTTCGGCACTATCTCTGTCCACGGGGAAATCAAAAGAATGTCAAGCGCACAGAGTTGTCAGCAAACACAGAAAAACAAGTGATTGTTACAGAACACACATTGCTTGCACATTGCTTGCACGAGGCTCCATATGGCGTAGTACACGTACTGTTGCAGTATTTGAAGCACTGCAATGCAAGATTGGCTAAGAAGCTCAACAAACCCCTCGTGAATACTCAGTACAAGTGCATGGAGTAACTTAGTGGGTACTCACCCCTTCAGGTCACTATTCGATGGATCCTTCTGCAACTGTCCCAAGCCAGCGGTGGGGCAAGCCACACGATGGGCATACGTGTCCATGATCATGAAGCAGGTGGCAGTCTGCGTGCGATCGGGGTGTTCGCTTGTGCAGCTATTCGGTGAGAATTTGCTGGTGTCGCGTTCGTTGTCACTCTTCACGTCCACGTGCCACAGGGCGATCTGGTGATAGCCAGTGCGCAGCACAGCTCTGCACACCATGACAACACAGCATAACAACACAGCATGAAAACACACCATACCAATGCCATGCAATGTGTGTGGGAGGTGTGCATTGCAATGCTGCTCGATTGATTTATCCATCGCTGAAGGTGTTCCACCTAGTGGCTGCAGGCAGCTACCTTCATAGCTAGGGTCAAAGTACCAGTGTTGATCTATTGAGACATGCAGTGTACGTCCAGGGGAATTTCATACAACAGGTCCATATATGGAACACCTATAGCCAAACACCCGATCTATGGCTGCTACCAAATTAAACCTGATCACCCAAAGCATGCAACACCAAGGCTGTTATGCGAGTATACTAGCATACACTGCATACCTGTGATCAAGTAACTGTACGTTGACCCAGTAGAGTGGTTCAACATTGTCGGGCTTAGTATCCATATCCACATCCTGACCGTCCATGGTCAATTGATCAGTGTCGGTCGGTACGGGGTCACTGATGATTACATCTTCAGATTGCCGGCGCAGCGTCCTGGGAGATGGAAACAGTCCAAACAGTTTCCGTTTCGTGCCCGGCGAGGTGGCGCTGCTCGGCGAACCCGGTGTGCTGAGGGTATTGGTTGACTTCTGAGAGCCCATCAGATACTGACTGCCGCGTCGAGAAATCTTGCTCGCCTTGTTCGCGTACACTGCAATGTGCATCCGTGCCGCCTGCAGAAACGGCCATGGACGTGCATGCACAGAACAATGTCAGCTATCTTACATACTGGCAATAGTGCAGAGAACAATAAGCTATACTAGAATGCATGCGCCACCTTTCCGGGGAAAGAAACTTGAGATGTCAAGGCAAAGTATTAGCGGCAACAGAAAAACGGATAGTTGAAACTTGAAAGAGCCGCCTTTCACATACGCGTCAATGACCCAGCTCAATGTACAGAAATGACTCAAAGAGAGAATACAGGTGAGAATACAGGTGGGCATGCAACGCAGGGTTGGCACCTACCTTGGGCAAGTTGCAGACTGCAATGTCGAAGTTGAACATTTGATTGATCAGCAGGTGCTCATCGGTGGGTGCTTGAACTGACAAACCTTTGGCTGGGCACAACAGATTTCCGCCATGATAGATACCCGCCTCCACGTACAGACACGAACAGTTTCCTTTGTCCTTGATGCCGTCCACGCCGACTACTTTCACCCTGTAAATCAGACAAACCAAACGACCGTCATCGCCATTGATAGTGCAGCCATGTATATAATGATCTGCTTTTCGCAACGCTACTAATAACAAGCGAATGGCTTATCTTCAACACCAAATTGCATGTTATCAACCGTTCCACATCAGTATGGAGACACACTCCATTGTAATGTCCTGTAGAGCAGAGCAAACCTTTGTTCAAGTTCTTACTACTGCCATCAAGTGTAGATTTCAATTTTGAAGTAGCACATGTTACAGCATTATGATCAGTATTATGAACAAGGGTGTGTACTGCGACACCATACCTGTATGGTGTCTGTATGTCCCATAGAGACATAGTGAACACTTCAGAATGCATCTTGGTCAGTGCCGACAGCTGCTGGTGACTGCCAGTCAGGTTGCAGCAGTCGTCAATGAAATCCGGCTACAGTCGAATGGGGGGAAATGGCAAGCACACAGCACAAACAGCTGGTAAGCTACAAAAAAATATGTCAGCTCCCACAGTACCACATACACCGTCCAGCTGATATGCTACCGGTCCCTAGCAACACCATCACACTATCACACCGGGATAGCTGTGGGTGAATGCCGCCATGCGACCTCACCGTATACCAGGATGCCAACCGTGACAAGTTTACATGTGTTCCCTAAGCATCAAGCATCTCACATACTCCGAACGGATTGAGAAATCACTGAACAGAAATTGACGTAGATCTGGTCACTCAGCAATTTACCTCTCCATGGTTCTGCACCAAGTCCTCCTTTACATCGGGTTTCTTGACAACCGCAAGGTGGATGGGTGCCTTCTTGAGTAAGCAACTGGAAGTATGCAGCAAGTTCATAGAAGAGAAAAAAGGAATTTAATGAAGGCAATGCTAGCTGCAAAGGGTATCACCTCCGTGGTGATAACAGCATCAGTGGGTTGCTAAGTCGTATCCAGGAAAGGCCGGGACAACATGGAGACAGCTGATGTGCCTTCACATGACCTGTAGGGCATACTCATTTGCTGTAGATAATGGCATACTCATTTGCTGTAGATAATGGCATGCTCATTTGCTGTAGATAATGGCATACTCATTTGCTGTAGATAATGGCATGCTCATTTGCTGTAGATAATGGCATACTCATTTGCTGTAGATAATGGCATGCTCATTTGCTGTAGATAATGGCATACTCATTTGCTGTAGATAATGGCATACTCATTTGCTGTAGATAATGGCATACTCATTTGCTGTAGATAATGGCATACTCATCTCACTTACCGACGGATGTAAGTGTACTTCAGAAACGTATGAGTTCGGTAGAGATACGAATCTTGGCCGCACACTTTCAATGTGTACAGCGAGCGATCCCTGCAATGACACAAGAAGACAACCAGAAGCACACGCATTTCTTTCCTGCTTGTTTGTGCATCATGGTAAGGTGGCGGCATACCAGTCCACTGTGCAGTACATGAGCTCTTTGAATAGCTTGGGACATCCACGCACAAGCACTTCACCTATCTGAGATCCAGGACATGTACTTACGCAGAGTCAGGTATGCCTAGCAGAGAGCGCTTGCCACTGTCCGGGTTGAACAGAAACTGGAGCAGGTCCAGCGGGGTCTCGGATACTGCGGCAGCACAGAGCGCACGAGACAACACAATTGCATCAGCATGCTTATCAAGCCGTGTTTTTTTTTTTAAGACCTCAACTGCTGAGGGTGATCATGTGCATCACTAACATGTTCATTCGTGGTAGAATTGTGTCACACTGTGGAAGATACTTGTACATATACTTGATACAGTATGCCGCAGATGGTTTAGCATCTCCAGACTGTGTCAAGTGTCCTGTACAGTGCAGACTGCACCCATGACCGCGTAGACACTAAAAGGCCACCAACAATGAGACGGCTCCATGCGGATCCCTACAACTAACCTTGAAACAGTATGACCTGCCTCAAGTCCTTCTGGTCCTCAAACTGAACATTGATCTCAATCCACATGGCACACTACAGGCAAAACAATAGAAGACACGGAACACAAACGCCTCACAAATCTCACCGACAGAGCCCATAATGTGACCATCAAGTTCACAAACAACTTCAAACCAACACAACTTCACAAGCAATGTGGGTATGGCCACCTTTCAATCCCATTCCAAAGTGAACTACGGTACCGTCGGGTGCCGAAGAACTGGAAGGTCAGCCTTCTAGCCTAGGCCGTTCTTATTGTCATGCACTACAGTCTATGCACAGCTGAGTCACTGTGGTATACATTGGTATGCTGTGCTGGGTGAAACCCTAGCCTGTTCGTTCCTCGGTGCTCTGTTCTTCGGCACCTGGCAGTGCCGTAGCCGAACTACAAGGGTATGTGTGCCGGGGGCATGGCTTACCATTTTCCTGACTGGCTCTGGTACTTCGCTGTGTGTCAGAGCAGGTTCCATGGCGTACAGCTCACTGTCACGAGAACTGACTGCGGCGTGGCGAGCACTGTCAGGCACACATCAAACGAGAAATTAGAAAGAATTGTATTTGGTTTGCCCGCGAGTAGAATGCACTGCATCATGCTCCACATTTCCACACCCACATGAATACAGGTCATACAGATTACAGAATCAAAGTGACACGGTTTGTCCTATCGCTTTGTCTTATATAGCTTTGGTGTAGCACAGGCATCCATGTACAGATAATACTCATCGAGTACAAACAGCACGCTTAAAATACCTGACTAATTTCCGGCGAGTGATGTCAGCTTCGTCGTTGTTGCTACTCGAAATCAGCTGTTCCATATCCATGCCAACTAGACTGTTGATCAGCTCCTGAAATTCACGTGCCTAGAAGAAAACGAGAATTCAACGCATGTAGATTGGGTCTTAGGTTAATACTGGATACTGTCCAAACTAAAATTGAATGTGTGTGATTGTAGTGAATCAAATGCCAAAGCATCTTGCTGAAGATGTGGAAAGTAGCTGGTTGATTTCAGGAAATGAAATACATGTACATGCATGGTGAACTTCCAGAACTATCCCAACCGTAGCAAATCAACCATATCAGTGCCGCGTTGCACAGGTAGGCATGGAAACCCGTAGGACATGGTGCATTGCATTACGCTGTAGTAGAGGCTATCCACTGATCGTATCAAAATGTCGTACCACGCGTCTCTAACTCTCTAAACATCAAGCAGTGCTACACGTACCTTTTCACTGTCGGTCTTCTTCAGCTCGACGCGCAGCTCAGGCTGGGCCTTCCGCTTTGTTTGCCAGTAGCTGACAATGGACAGGGTTTGACTAGATTGAATCACGGTCAAGGACAAAGTCGGACTACAATGAAGAAATCATGATACGATTTAGTGGCAATGATACGATTTAGTGGCAATGATACGATTTAGTGGCAATGATACCGCACAGGTAGAACCAGGCTACACAGCTGCCCCCCCCCCCCCCCCCCCATCAACATGCACAGGGAGTTAGTTCGTCTCATTAAAGCATGTCGGTTATGAGTAGGATACAAGAGTTGCTCCTGGTCGTACAGCTCGTAGTCCATTCCAAACTTCTTGTACTTAAGACTATAGTCGTCATGGTTCATCAGCTCTGGATAGGTCTCCATGATTCCACTCTCACTGCACGGGGAAAACAAGTCCAATTACAGTGTTACATTGTGTACACGGCCAATGAGATTGATAAGAGGCAGTTGAAGTACCAACTACCATAGTATCTTTGGTCCTCAACTAGGAAAGCTATCTCTTGAGTCACGCTGAATGTAATGGAATAGCATTCACTGTAGTCATATGTGAAATCTATGGATGTATACATCTCACTCCCCAAACTCTACACAGTAAGTATGCCACCAGGAAGTCAGAGTTACACACGGCACACTGAGCATATTTCTATACTGTACCTCATCTCATTCCACAACATGTCCTTGATTTGTCCCACCGTCTTGTTGCCTGCGGAGAATACACAATAACGCACACGGATCGAGATTGAGCAGCAGAAATGGCTGGTAAGAAACACACTGTTACTGTATCTCAGAACGATTCCGTCAGGCGAAATAGCACGTCATAGTACATTCGAGATCAGCGAGAAGAAGATGACGACGTCCACTAATTTAGTATCTGTGCACACGAATCTGCTGTGTGTGTTACTCTGTGTGTCAACTATGGCATCATCGCCTGTGGTTCCATGCCTAGCATGTACGTCTGAACCATCCTGCAAAGTTTGAATGACGTAGGTTGAGCGATCGCTCCGCGAAATATACTTTTTGAAATTCTCTTCATAGTATATCTTCCACCATTGAAATTTCGAATTTCTTCTTTTTTGTTGTTGAGAGGGGTGGCTTGCAACCTCGATATGGCTTGTTCCAGGCATGCTTTGGAGCCATTGCCTGTTGAAACAGTGGCGGAAAGCGGCCCTGCAACTGTTCCAACAGGAAATTAATCGATCCGAGAAAGCGCAAGTCCGCGAATCTCGGTCGAATATTGAGTATTTTAAGCCTTTTCACGACGAAGATGGAGTTCTTTTTGGAGATGGACGTTGCGGCAAAGGACATGGTGTCCGACTTCTGGCGTCTGGTGAAGCCAGGGATCATTTGTCCAGTCAGGTCGGCAGCCTAACCGTCGGTAAGCTTGTGTTTGGATCCCGTTCTGCTCGATGTGGTAGATCACAAACAATTTGATATCGCACAAATTGATCTCAGCATCGTGCGTACGGTATTTTATATTCAGAAAATCCCAAAGTGTCTCTGTGTGGCCGTCCTATGCCACGAGAAACTCCGATCAGGCTCCTATGTCCTCTGCCTTCATGATTGAATGTCCAGTTCATTTGAACAACGAACACAACAATCGAGGACGGCTTTGCAATGAAAAATACAGCTATACTGGAGCTGAAAAAAGGAAGAAAAAAACGTGCTCAGGATGAGACTCGAGTACACGCATACTCTCCAAGCAGGTGAAACGCAAATTTTTGTGAAAAATGCGTGTCGCCGACTGACCAGTAATTTCGCCTGACGCCTGCACACAATCATCTATTGCTGAAAACTTGCGCGGCGGCCCATAACCACTGTGGATGTGTATACGATACACTTGGCCCGTTAGAACTAGACCAGCCAATACAACAAAGCGGCGGCCTGCCGCAATTGACAGCTGTTCACACTCATATCGGTACCTGTCTGACTACCCAAATATGTTTGATCGACCAAAAGTCATCAGGCTCTGCTCTGCTATGCTGGATATCCATCAAAGCAATGGCTATAACGCCTGCACAGGTTTGTGAAAAGAAACGGATTTCCCCGCCATGCAGCACAGCAAAGTAAACCACTGCCACACCAGTCAACCATGACCTACCTGGACAGTTGAGCAAGACCGTATTTCTTTTCGGTAGAACGAAGACGACCTCCAGCACCTGGATAAAGTGTCAGATTAACATGTAAGCCAGGTGAACTTCAAAGTCAAATTTGACGAGGATCCAAGAGGTACTTACTGCTGGGATGCACGAAAGGGTAAACTCTTATCTGGGAATGAACTCAAAATTCCTCTGTATATGTACTGTGAACGGATAGATGGAAGGATCTCACTCCAGTATACTTCACAGGCATACACATCACGGCTGGAGCCCACGGTGTGAATGCAATGCATAAGCGTGTTGCTGGCAAATCACCTGGGCGTCTTCTTTACCTGAATTCTTGAGTAACGCTGCGACTCATCGTCCTCTGGTCGACGACGGTGATTCGGCGATGTAGGGCCATTTAACGACTGCACAAAACCAACATACACACACACACACACACACACACACACATACGCAGAGCTCACCACCAGGATACATGCTGGAGGGTCGGATAGGCCACATCAAGGTTAGCCCGTCCCTCATTATCCACTTAACAGCTCATGACAGTGCTAATTGCTTGTGTTGTCCCTCAAACCCTCGAGTAGATTTTACCCAGAATAGCCGTGCACTAGTGGTGAAAAATGACATATGGAACATTTCGTTGTCCGTGAACCTGTTTGGGTTTCCCCGGCTATTTACATGCATTACGTTATTGGCGCCCAGTTGTACACACTGCTGCACCGTCTTTGGTCCCTGTATATAAATATGCATTTCTTGAACTTACCCCTGTTGGGATGTCACTATATTAGTCCGTCTGCCATCTTGGCTTCCCTTCCCATTTGGGATCCACCATACATAGCAGTGCACCACTTTTGCTTCTGCCAGCTCAATAATTATATTCCTTTCCCCGTTTTGCCTCTTTGTCATTCATCCCGTCATCTAGTAAGTGACACTTGTAAAATACACGCTCTCTCACTCTCTTGAAGGTGCTTGGTCTTGGTGCGATCCGAGGGAGATATCAGCTTGTCCACACTTAGTTCCATGACATTTGGTGCCTAACGTGGGGCTCAAACCCACGGCCCTCACGATCTACCGACTGCCATTGCCGTACATGTGTTAACACAGCGTTACAGGACATGGCAGCACCGATTATTCTTACCTCTTGTCCCATGTAGTCTGGGGAGGAAACGCTTTCCGGTCGCAGGCTGTTCCTCTTCAAGAAAGTGTTACTTGTTTGCCCTGCCAATGTGCATAGGTTAGCACAAGGAAGAAAAAACCGAACAGAGGAGGAGGCTATCGCGAGATCCGACACGTAAGTACAGACTGGTGCTCACTATTATAGGCACTATACCCAGCAGATATCCTACAAGAGCATTACTATGCTAACATCATGCAGTTTTCAGCACAACCATGCAGTTACGTCTTGATACTGTGATGGTAATAACATGGGATATGTTATGTGCGTATTGAATTACCACCACACTCCTTTTAAACTGTAACCAAGTTACTAAGACACATACCCTCATCAGAAGATTGAATTGCTCGCATGGTTGGACGTCGTGATGCAATTTTGACTTTTGACCCAATTGCCCTGCGGCTGAATCCATTCGGGCCTCTAGCGCTGAAAGAAGATGATTCGGAGGACGTCGAGTCCATGCGCTCTCTTCCCGACGATGAGATACTGTGTCGGGGACTTTCTTCGGTGGACGTGTCACTGCTAAAACGTTTCTTCGACATGAGCGGGGATGTTATTGCTTTACGCGACCTGTAGGGAGTGGAGGGTAGACTTCCACCGCTGTCTCTCCTGGACATGCAGCGGCGAGCAGCAGGGGGAGAGAAGAAGCGAAGACTTCCCTTCATGTCCGGTGGGCGGTGGGTAAGGTCGGACGGGCACGGCTCGATTCTTTTGAACAGGTTCTCGTTGTCGGATATGCTGCTACCTTCTGATGTGATTGAGGACTGATGGTTGCGGAATGACACTTTCGGAGAAACATTTCTACACAACGGAACAGTAGCAGCAGCAGCAGCAGCAGCAACAGCAACAACAGAAAAGAATATTCGCTAGTGGCAATCTTGTACCATTGAGCAGTGTACTACTGTTCAATCCCATGATCAGTGTTCATCTACTCCAACGGTTGAACCCATGCATCCCTTGCATCATGACAGGTGTGGTCATTGCACTTACATGGCATGAGGCCATACCGATGCATTACTACTCACGAAGGGAGCTGCACAAGCCCGGTTTGTACCTCAACATATCAAGCACATTGCTGCACACAAGTTACGGTTCATACAGTGAGGTATGTGTGTGTGTGTGGGGGGGGGGGGGGGGTGCACTTACGTATGGCTGTCTTGCTCATTCTCAGACACGAATCCTGATGTACAGCAGTCGTCATCTTCATCCTCGGCCTTTTCACTGTGAGAAGAACAAACCGGCAATCAACTCTAAAGGCTTGGGCAGAAATGATAGAAAAATATTTAGCAAAATAGATATCCACCTTGTCACTCCAATCCCGGGTGATATACACCATAAAACAGAATGTAAGCGCATTCTCTCCCTCCCCTTGCACACCCTGTCTCTCTTGCTCTTTCCTTATTTCTTTCTTTCTCTCTTTCTCTCTCAGCCTTTCTTTCTGTCTCTTTTTCACTCACTAATCACTCGCTCACTAAGCCACTCATTCACTCCTTCTCCTTCTTTCTCTCTATCTATCTTGAGATACTTTCCTTGGCATTTTAAACAAAGAGTCTCCACAAGGAACGTACATGTACTCATAACTTCAGGCTAGTTTTGTGTGTAAGAGCTGTCTGAAGTTTTCATTGCAGTACGTCATCAGTGTACTGTGTAGTCACTCAACATATTATTATTGTGCATACAAGTGCCACACGGTGAATGTTACATTACGCACCCTTCCGACTCCCCCCAGGAAGAAGAGAGCATTGGAATGCAGTTATGCACAGGCCCCGGGCTAGGATGGCACTCCACCTGACTGGCCGCCATCGCGACACAACTGCCAGTGGAATCTATGCTCTGAGCTGTCCTCCAGCGCTGGTATGATCGGTCAAGGATGATATCCTATACGATAGAAGAGAGAACAAAGGATAGCAGTGGTAATAAGGTCATAGGTAGTATTTGACAACAAGTCTACACTGCTTGCTAACAGTGGTCAAGCCCGGTGGCAAAACCAGACCAAGTGACCGGAATTGCAACACAAGAATGCATGCGTACATCAGATATACAATGTATGTTGCCAAGACAGGGATGATTTCTCTGCTAACAGAGTGCTTCTTGATGGCAGAGCGTCTGCAAATACGGGCTCGCGTGGAAGGCCTGGCTATTCTAGCATCATTTATGGTAACTTATTAACGTTCTATAAATTTCACACCTACTTGGATAATAATTGAACCTAGCAGCAAGCCGCACACACTGTCTCGAGCAAATATCCAAAACAAGAACACAACAGGAGATGTGTGCACAAGTACTTCAAAGTACAAGTATACCTTTATAATGAAACTGTCACACTTCGAAGTAAAACAACTTGCCATGGATGCTATCCACTACTAACATTCGATCGCAGCCAAGCAAAGACACCCCACAATTCAGTTCCTGTGCCCCGTGTTCCCTGGTAGGCCGCTTGTTATCACAGACTGGGATCCGAATCTCAGAACCCTCTAAAATAGAGTTCCAGGCATATTTTTCAGTTCAGGCTTGCGGGTTTCCCACAAGTATAACAACTCTCAAACACCTTGCAAGCTGCACAACTTGTGACGAACATAGATGCGCATACACACCTGCGGGGACTGCCGCCGAGTGGTGAACGGGATGCACCTAAGCATACTGGCGTGCATTGGGGTTGCCCAACTTTGTCCACCTCCAAGGAGAAAGCTGTATGCCTGATCCAGTCAGTGTGATGTCTCAGCCAGTTAAATTCAGCTCATCTCTTATAGCATTAGGATGTAATGGAACTGACAGGTACACAATACACCTACACTAGACTTGACCCAGACCAGTATGACTGACAACCCTACCAAAACTAGTGGGTAACTGCAACAGGTAGCTACAACTACTTCCTCTCCTTCCTCTCACTGAACCAGCTAGCAACTCGTGTGACTGAAGTGAAGCAGCAGCAGAATTTACGCAGTGTCCTTCTCTAAGCTGTCAGGGGAGACTGCTGTGTGATGAGGAGAAACAGTTCACTAGTATCCCCTGTACTGTAGTGTAGCACTACTGTCTACAGGAAATGCACCTTGTCATGTAACTGTTGACCATGACACTGCATCATGTAGCCATGTAGCAGCACTGGGTCTGGCTGTGCTAGCTACATGTATAGTACTGAACAAGAGGACTCTGGCTGGATGTAGACACTGCTACATAACATACTGCATGATCAATACAATGGTATGCAAACTGATAAAAATAATTATTTAATCTCAGCCCACGCAATCTAGTCCTCTCTGAAGTGGACAATCCCCAGCATCCAGACCTCCATTGATGAGGCAAGCCAGGATTGGTAACAGCAAAGTAGTTTCCACTCAATGCACAACACATGTAGACATGCAGGCATGAATCACTGCTTTACTGTGAACACTCAAAACCATGCTGCTGATCAAGTACTACAACTAACAAGTATGTATTTACTTCCTGGCTGATGCTCCTCAAGGCACCAGATGTACACCTGGCCACAACGCTGCAGAGTGTGCAGGGTACACACAGCTTGTACATACCATACACACTGGTACCATGCACCCGCAACAGTGCAGGGCTAAAACTTAGTAAAAGTGAAACTACCAGTACTCAGTATCACCATCAGGTGGCAAGAAAGCGGACTGACCTGGGACGTTTCCTGGGCAGTATCTATCCCAAGTACATGCAGGACAGTGAGGACTACTACTCAGTACTAGTATCACCCAGTAATATCAGTACTTGCCAGTGATTCATTAGTGAGGTCATGCCCTCAGTCTGAGTTGTGTTTGTTACAGGTACTTAGAGATCAGTGTGGAGTGCACTAGTGCCCCTGGAAATACTGAATGGGCTCCCATCACCCATGAAAGGGGCTAGCTTCCGCAGAGCTTGATCATACAGCTAAGTACACAGAATAGCCTTCCCAATACCTAGGAAATGGAGAGGGACATCACTGAAGCAGTACTGGTTATAGAAGAAAGCAATAAGAAGCTCTTTGAATTACTTCCTCACGGATAGTGACTGGAGTCATCCATTTTACAGCTCTAGGATGCCAGCTTGGCACTGCACAGCTGTCAAAGGTGAATAGACAACTGAAATGGGTCATTCAAGGGACAATGCTTCTTTCCTAATTCAACATGTCAAGAGGACTACTACTAGTGTATGGCATTAGACTCTTACTGTGACTTAGTCTAGCTGACCAACTGGGGCATGGGCCTGATGGAGGGGTACCATACCGTCCTCAGAACACTAAACACGATGTGTCAATTCCAAACACACCATTGCCCTGACTTCTAGCTCTGCCCCTCCAACTAATCCCCCCCTGGCGCATGACCACAACAACAGCAGCTACATGTACATGTACCAGCATCATCATCCCAGGATCATCCCAGGATCATCCCAGGATCATCCCAGGATCATCCCAGGATCATAGTATCATACTTCATCAAGTTCATGGTACAATAGGGCTTGAAAGTGCTACGTCACAGCATAGCAACAATTTCAAAAATTCAAAAACTGGACCCACTTGGATCCAGTTTTTGTATGGATCCAAGCACATTTCAAGCCGTCTTACTCACAGCAAGGTGATGTAGCCAGTGAAACTGACTGATTTGGCTACTGGGGGCGGGGTTACAACTGGTGGCGAAGTAAAAGTCACCCCTGCATACGACATGAGTGGGTTGCTATGCACCCACATACTGAGGCAATAGCAAAGTCACACCTTAGTGGATCCAAAATAGAAATCTGATGTCAACTTACTACTCCCTGGCCATTTTTGACATCATCACTTTCAAGCCCTATCTACCATGATCTACAAGGACCGGACCCTGATGTCTAGGACTGTACAGTCATGGAACATACTCTAGGACACTACTAGCTCCTCAGCAGGACATCATGCATGTGGACAGTGCATGCAGTTCACCTGCCCATGATCACCGCAGCGCAAATGTGCAGTCCGAAACCAGGCTACTACAAATACATACATGTACATTGCACAACCACTACATGCAAGACACACAGTGCCATGTACCACAAGGCCAAGGACTAGCAAAAGTCATTTTTTAAGATCACTAGCACTGTCATTAATTTTACATGTCCCATGTCTCTGCGAGTCTTTGCCATTCACCACATCATCAAATGTCACATTCACTGACTGCATTTTCTTCCCCTTCGAGCTTCGGTAATTCCTATCCGTCCAACATAATTTTTAGGCACAATATACATGTACCTAAAAAATAAAAATAAAACCCACCACAATTCACAAACAAGGAGTAACTAAATATTACTTACTAGTACTAGTAGGCGCACTACTAGCCTGAACATGAATGGGCATTGCGTTATGGTACCGTCTGGCCTCATCCCAATCAAAAGACATCATTGCACAAGCATTTCACCCAGAACGGGTGTCACTAGCACTAGCGCTATAGCAGTACATGTATGTAGCTCTACTCACGCGTGTGCGCAAGGCAATGATGTGTTGGCGTTTGAACCATTAATTTTCACTTTCAGTCATCGATGTCGCCAGATAAACAAGTCGTCCGAGTCGTCAGTCCTCCAAGCCCACGGCCTGGACAGCATTGATCAGTGCGCCGCGGCAAGACCCTCATTCAGCCACCTACTAGTCACTGTCTTCATGCTTTCGCCTCGCTACTGTCCGAGATTTGCAGCCGGAGCTTGGTAGGGGGTCAGTTATTAGCTGATGAGGCCGAGCCTCGAGTTGGACAGCAGCGATGCGGACAGGAGCGTTCCCCACACGCATACCATGCATAAGGACAGCGGCGCACCGGGCCCGTCACAGATGCAGGTGGGTTACCGGTGTAAAACCCACACTCCCCACAGTGACAGGTAAAGCTACAACTGTACAACTACAAGTAGAGAACGACGCTTCAATAACCTACTGCAGCAGGACTGTCTATATTCTCCACTTTCAACGACCTGCTTCCATCGAAAGACAAGTGCGCCTACAAAATTTATTATAATGCGTGTACGGTGTACTCAATGCCTGATTTGTAGATCTGGGAGTCACACCGCGTACCGGTCCACCACGCGTGCACGACTCACGAGTCTACATGATTTTGTAGTCGGACTCTGCTTCAGTTCTGTAATTCTAGTACCGGAAGTAGCTAGCTGCATGCTCTACGCGCGGATGTGTTGACTTTCGACTTGAAAAATTTCGTCTTTTCGACTTGATGAACAGTGGCAGTGCACTAGTGCAGTACATGACTGAGTCTGTACCTCGAGAGCAGGCGTGATCTGAGTGAGTGTGGCTGGCAAGGCATGCTTGACCCACGTATGCAGGTACTGGTAACCTGATATTCAGGATTACTGTGCTCATGATTGTCATGCTCATCATGAGAGACTCTCAACAGACAACAGTCTCATGATCATGATGATGAGAGATAAGATTAACGTGATAACCACGCTGATAGCTACAGAGTAGATCTACACTACAGTCTTACTCGATCGATTACGACTCATGTCGAGCCGCTTGATCTTGAGCGTAGTCTGCCGGACTACACTTGTACAAAGCACAGATATGGCATGTAGACCTACACTCTGATCAGAGTCTCAGTCTCAGCATAGCGCGAGCACAACGGTGACTGTCTGTGAACCATGGTGAACACTGGTGAAAGTCATGGCAAACAATCATCACTGATGCAGTGACGGTGAAAGGAGGCAACTCAGCCTGATATCAGGATCTAGGAGTTGGGAACTCGGGACTGTGGGGAGGCGGATGTCGGTGAGATGAAGTGATGTGCCTGGACGCTCGGAACTCCTTTGTGGAAGGTAGAACAGTAGAAAGTCAAGCGTCGGACGTTGATCTGCTTGCCTCTTCTTGTACGGATGGGCTCTGCTTTACGTAGTCGTTCAAGTAACTAGTCCTTATTAAAACTAATACATGTACTAGTAGCAAGAGTCCGATGATGCCACTCTCCACACCGAGCAGTCAGTATTACCGGCATGTGTTGTCAATGTTCGCTTGTCCAATTTTGTCTACCCCCCTTTATGTTGCTGGCCAGTGCTTTTTAGTAAAAAAATAAATAAAAAATGCTGACACTTCAATGTGACTTCATATGTACGTGATGGGGATGCAGTGGAAAAAAACAAGGAGCGAGTGCAATACAGTGGTCGACCTTGCACAATACAGCCTTGCACTCGGATAGAATGGACATAATCATTACCCGAGTGTCAGTGTGGGAACTGATATTCCCGAGCACTAATAACCATGATAACACTACAACTCACTGCTCAGTATCTATGAAAATCGCCCCTTGAAACACGTTACACTGAGGAGGATGAACTTTGTACAATGTCATGACTGTAGTGTTTCCCAGCAAGTCCGGCATCTTCTAGTCCACGTACAGCGGGCAACATGCAATGCCACTGGCAGCTGCAGCAACAGGTGACTGGTCCATAGCCATTGCACCAAGTGAGATTCCAGTTCCGGTATCGCACCGCCATCCAGACTGAGCCGGCCCGTCTCGACGTTGCGGCAAGTGGCATCTGGGGTGGCCGGTTTGAGTGCACCTTCATCGACGCGAGGGTTTTCAATCCTCATGCCCCCTCAAACCGCGCCACCTCCATTGCTTCCAGCTACACCTGTGACCAAGCACGAGAAGGAGAAGCGGCGCTGCATGCTACGAGCAACGTGTCCGCGACATCACTGAGAGCATTCGTCGTTTGTTCCGGCCATATTTTCTACCACCGGTGGTTTGGGCAAACACGCGGAGTCGCTCTACAACTTAATACAAGCGGATAGCTTCTCTTCAAGTTCAAGCAACCAAGAGCGGAGAAGCATACAGCTGTGTCGTGTCTTGGGTTTGCTGCGAGTTTTTCCCTACTCCGGTCCAGCGTGATGTGTTTGTGGGGATCCCGGAATATTCGGCCGGTGCTCACCTCCCACCTTGGCGGTTGCGGAGGCGGGCATTCCTATTTGATACCATTTGCCTAGGTTTTGTCTGTCTATTGGTTTCGTTTGTGCTCTTTTCATCCTACTACATGTACTTCTACTACTACATGTACTACTTCGAAGTAGTAGTAGTAAGCTGTATCACTTTGTCTTTGCCCGTACAAGAGGCTGTCAGATCCAAAAAAAAACACAAAAAAAAACACAAGCGAGATAACCTCAGTATATGACTGACTCTTGATTACGATTGCAGTTCTTCTGTCATTAGTAGGTTGTTCGGTTTAGCGCGAGGACTCGGTCGGATATTCTCATGGATCGGAACTCTGCATCTCCGTTTCGCTATTACGATGCAGATGTGTTATTTTTTATTGAATTCACGGTCCTCATTCAGGCAGATGTATTGTTGACGTCTTCCCCTTGACTTCACTCTCAAGTGAAACTGACTGGCTGTATGGAGTGTTGCAGCTCCATGACTGTATAGTGTATAGAGATTACAGTAAATTAATAATTACTAAGTACACGACATTGTATACAATTGTACAGTCATGTACATGTACCTGTAGGTGTACTAGTACTAGTACTAGTTCACCGTTCCAAGTAATATACTAATAATATAATTATACTAGCAGCACCCCCGCCAGCGTTGCCTGGCCGAATGTGGCATGCGGGTGAAGCAAGTGGCAATAGCTCGGTCATCCAGCGCTTCCATACTTGTAGGACCAAACTCTGGACAACTCGCCAGCGATAACGGTGGCTGTGCGGCACAATGTCGGTGCCCTTTGGTACGAATGGCTGGCCCTGGTGTCCATAAAGGAAATGATTGGGTGTCAACGGCAGCAAATCTCTGGCATCTGCTGACTGGTAGGTAAGTGGTCGTGAATTCAGTAACGCCTCTGCGCCGGTGATTGCAGTCGCCAATTCTTCATCATTCACTTCCGCACCTGCTAGGATGGCGAAGATGGCACGCTTTGCAGATTTCACTAGTGCCTCGTGTACGCCACCAAAGTGTGGAGCAGCCGGCGGGTTAAATGACCACTTGATGCCTTTGTCCGCTGCTCGACGCTGCACATCTCCCTCCATTGCCTTCAGAAGCTTCTTCATCTCGTTGGCGGCTCCGACGAAGTTGGTGCCATTATCGGAGACGACCTGTATCGGAACGCCGCGCCGGTTGGTCATCCTCAAGAAAGCATTCATGAATCCGTCGACATCGAGACTTGTTGCCATTTCCAAAGGAACAGCCCGGGACTGAAGGCAGGTGAATAGGCAGAGGTATCTCTTCGCCCGATAATATTATTCTTCGCGTGCTCAGTGCTTCTGCGGCCGCTAGCTACACTGTGCTACACTGTTCGCACGCTTCGCGTGCTCAGGGCCTATACTAGGGCAGCGCTGCAGCTCCGCAGCGCTTCAGCGTGACACAAAAACACACGTCACAGGTGCCTCTTCTTTATAAGGAGCGTGACACACACACACACACACAGACACACGTCACAGGTGCCCCTCTTTTATAAGTAAAGATAATATTAGCGGGATCCGCGTTAGCATCACTTGAATGTTCAGAAACACACAAGCTATCGCCTTCGCTTCCGCAGGCCACCACTGCACTATGCCTTTTCACCTTAGTCACGTTAGCATGGTTAGTGGCGAATGCAGAGTTGCAGACCTCACAAGTGAGTCAGGGGAGAGGAGGTGAGTCTCTCAACCAATCGGGCGTGTACAGTAACCATGGTAACGGCCCATATTCCATAACCCTGTACACCGTTGCGAGTGCTGGTAAGTAATAATACGGTAAGTCCCATCAGTGCTGCTGATTAGGAACTCTGTTCAGGTACCAGTCTAAATAATGCATACATGTACATGTACATATGATTACCGCTGTACTTTACATGTATGAAAATATTAGTGGTTGCGACTTCGGCGATGATTTTTTAGGAATGGGTTTGCTCCCACACTGGAGCTCGCGCGCTATTCCGCCGATGGTCCTCTAGTCTCTACGTCTGTTCTCACCGTCCAGGAGCGACACTGACTCACGCTGCTATCTGGTGTTCACGAGGTGTTTGTCGCGCTGGAAATGGAGCGTCTCTGTAAGTCTGTATCCCTGGTAAGGCTAAAACGATCGTGTATTTTCACCTATCGATTACTCTTTAGCTTAACGATCGAGTAATCGATTATAATCGTTAGCAAATAGTGTAAGAATTTTGTGCAAACATTACTCTGTTTCCAAAGGCTAGGCCTTCATAATACCAAAAACCTGCATTTATTTTAGTGACAGGGTAGCTCCGAAACATGGCAGTTGTGAAGTCAATATAAAACCTCAGAATATGCACCATGCCCCAGGCAACTGCAGACTCACAGTGGAAACTGATTCAATCTTCACAAAACGAGAGTTTTCATTACTTTTGGACTCAAAATCCCTAACGAGTAATCTATATGTACGTATAACGTAACGATTACTTGATTGATAACGAATTATCGATCGCTTACCGAGTAATTGGTATAATCGTTTCAGCCCTAAATTCCCTGGTGATGTTTGTGCCTGGAGAGCACTATTATACACGTCAGTGGTGCTCTTCAGGCACAATCTTCCTCAGCCTACTCAAGCTCAACTGATGAGGGGTGAATTCTCCGAAACACTGTGTATTGAGCAGGGAGTGGTGCTTTCTTGCAGGTTTGCCGAGTCGAAGGTTCGATGGACTTCTCGCGTGCTCTGGATGGCAGTCGTGAGTCAGTCAAATGTCAAGTCAAGTCGGCGGAATAGCGAGAGCTCCAGTGTGGGAGCAAACCCATTACTTAAAGTCTTTACAGGTACATGTATACCAGTAATATCAGTTCGTGGTAGATCTACATAATACATGTACATGTAACGTTTGAAACACATACAAACATAACAACACATTCACGCACGCACGCGCGCACACACACCACAGTGACCACACACACACACACACACACACACACACACTTGTACTTGTACTTACTTACTTGTACTTGTTGCTCACTGCCAAAACTGGTCACGTGAGTCCCCCCGGGAGAGGGGAGAGAGACTCAAAAGGAATCTTAGAAAGATGACTCAATTGGTTATTGAACCGCCCAACGGCCGACACCCCCTGAAATCCCCAAAACTCTGGGTGGACTTGAAAATGATCCCACTTATGGGCTCACCACACCTCAGTAAGTGGGTGAGGACAAGGTGCAGAAAAAGGATTGACGGCATCAGGTATCCGTCCCGGGATCCAACTGCAGTTACCCCTGCCCCCAGTGAAGGTAACACACACACACACACACACACACATTTACATGTGTTTCAAGTGGGGGGGGGGGGGGGGGTTCTGGCCAGCGAATCCCGACCTTTTGATCTTTTCCTCTCTTTCACCATGTACCATGTCCATATACACGCCCGTCGCAAGAGAGATCTATTGCATCACACAGCCTGTGAAGTCAATCTGCATGACTTACAATAAAGTATTAAAGTTGTATCTGTTTAGGCAGCCCCTTTTGCCATGTTATGCTGCCTGAATTTTCAATACTCGCAGCTTGAAGCACATACTACATGTGTAGTACGCCAACTCCCAATATCCAACTGCAAACTGGTTTACGGATATTACTTGAAGTAGTTAGCTGCTGCGTCTGTCTATCCTCGTCTCTCTCAATCTCTCTCCGTGTCTCTCCGTCCGAACATCTGTCTCACGATCTGTCTCTGTGTCTCTTTTCTAAGTTTTTTCTTTCACTCTCTCTTTCACTCTCACTCTATTTCACGCTCACTCTCTCTCTCTGTCACTCTCTCTGTCTCCCTCTCCCCTCTGTCTGTCTGTCTGTCTGTCTGTCTGTCTGTCTGTCTGTCTGTCTCTGTCTCTCTCTCTCTTCCTCTATCTATCTGTCCGTGTGCGTCTGTCTCTGTCTCTGTGTCTACTCTCTTTCCGTGTTTCTCTCTGTCTCCGCCCCCTCTCTCTCTCTCTCTCTCTCTCTCTCTCTCTCTCTCTCTCTCTCTCTCTCTCTCTCTCTCTCTCTCTCTCTCCCTCCCTCTCTCCGGTGTGAAACATCCTGTGAAGATCCCATTTCAAGGGCGGGATCGGGAGTTTTCCATTGTCTATGATTACAACCTCACCAGATACTAGTACCAACATTCCGTCCGCTCGCCTAGCCCGCCCATGCATGTCCTCTGCTCTTTACCTTTACTGGCTTTAGTATGTATGTATACCTACATGTACATGTACTAGGCCAGGGGCAGGAGCCTCGCTACAGAGTAAAGGCTACTGACGTACATGTACAATGTCATGTACATACCGAATGCAGGAAGATCCGCAGGGACACGACATCAGAAAGGAACCTGTTCCGTTCTGCTTCGCGCGTCCTGCATTCCGCCTAGGTGCCTTCACACGAGCATGCGAACGCCATTCATTGGTAGGGTAGTATCGGATGCACGGAGCGCTGGAGGGGGTTCCCACTCCTTGTCAACACACGTCCTTCCAACATTCTACGTACATGCATGAACATGCGCCCCAAATCAGGTATTCCTTCCTGTGCACTGGTTCACACAGTGACGCATATTTTGTTTACTATCATCTACTACTACTACTTACTAGTACAGCTGTAGTAGTACATGACTGTACTCTCTTAGCCTCAGCTAAGTCTTAGGTCTTCACTCTTCAGCTCGCTGTCGGGTGGTGCGCCGCACAGTCCCAGTACTCAAACAACGCGCGCGCATGCACGCAACGCAGCTTGGGCCTTCCAGTGTGCCCAAATCTGCCTCCAAAGCCGGCCACGAACGTCCAGCCGCTCGCGGGTCCATTTTATGAAACGCCCTGCCATCCGACGTGCGTGGTATTACCCTGTACCACCACACCAGTTCAAACAAGCCTGCCTCCCGTTCTGTCTTGCTAGCAGCAGCCCCCACTACTACTGAACACTACAGGAACCTTTGAACGTTTGCGGTACTCCACAGTACCAGGCATGTGCTAGTCGAAGAAAGTACTTCCTATCTGTCATCATGCCGGATTTGATATATGGATCGTCCGCCTATGGCTCTGGCTTGACCCACAACCAGCTAAACCGCTTGCAGGTGGCCCAAAACCGCGCAGCAAGGGCGGTGTTCGGACGACCACGATTTACCAGGGCCAGTGACCTCTTGGAGAGGCTCTCTGTTTATCGCGTGGACGAGGTATATCGCCAGAAACTGCTCGTGCTGGTATGGCGGTGCGTTCATAACCGTGCCAGTCCTGCTCTGCAGGCACTGTTTGTCAGCAACTGCGGAGCAACTCGCCTTCAGCGCAGTCTGGGCCTGCAACAACCAATAGCCAGAAGCCGAGCAGGCCAATGCCGACCGGCATCTCGCGGTTGCCTGTTATGGAACCATATACCTGACACGGTGCGAGCCATGGGCAACATCCCAGCATTCCGCCGAGCTGCCATTCCCTACACGTTGTAGACTGACTGCTACACAATTGGTCACACCATGGTATTCAGTACCCACGAACTTTGCAAAGCCGCGCCGATAATATGGATTATGGTAATGTACCGTGGTGCATGCACCGATGGTACCACCACTTCGTAGACTGCCTCCCGTTCATTTCTGTGCTCCTGTCCTTATTCTCGTCAGCTGTGTACATCAGCAGTTCAATTCTGTGCTCCAGTCCTCTTTATTCTCGTGAGCTGTGTACTTGTTTTGCTGTTTGTTTGGTTTATTTGAATTCGCTCAGTAACCGTGTACTTCAGCTATTCTCTCCTCCCTCTTCTGAATTTGACTCTCCGCTGGCCTTCTCTCCTCCCATCCCCTTACATTGTATTGGGCCTCCGCAGCTCCCCCCCTCCACGCACACACTACATTGTCACATAGCACAACTCAACCATTCGCTACCCTGTTATTGAGCACTCCTGCTCGTTTGGTCTCGCGAATCCAAAATAAAATCAATCAATCAATCAATGTGCTGTTTACCGCCTCCCGGGATCCCGGTGTTGTATTCTAACGTTAACGTTATTCATTGACTGAGCGTTCTTTGCTTTGTACTACACCCTGCTATCAAGTTACCGTATTTTCCGGGGTATAAGCCGCACTTTTTTTCGCTAAAAATCGGACCAAAATCGCCCCTGCGGCTTATACACCGAATATGCTTGCGCGAATGAATGCTTAGCATACATCAGTATGCATGCTGACGTCATGTGACATGTCATTCGACTCAGCTTCGCGCCTGTGTTGCTATCCCGGCACTTTTACTAGTTTTAGTGCGTGG